AGAAAAGCTGACTTATTTTATATTTACATGTTTACTCAAATATGATATTTATTTCTTTAAATCATAACCTCATCATCATCATCAGCCGAAAGACGTCCACTGTTGGACATAGGCCTCCCCCATGGATTTCCACAACGATCGGTCCCATGCTGCCCGCATCCAGCGGCTTCCCGCGACCTTTACCAGATCGTCGGTCCACCTTGTGGGGGGCCTGCCAACACTGCGTTTCCCGGTACGCGGTCGCCACTCGAGGACCTTTCCGCCCCAGCGGCCATCGGTCCTGCGAGCAATGTGCCCTGCCCATTGCCACTTAAGGTTTGCAATTCTGTGGGCTATGTCGGTGACTTTAGTTCTCTTGCGTATCTCCTCATTTCTGATTCGATCACGCAGAGAAACTCCGAGCATAGCCCTCTCCATTGCCCTTTGGGTGACTTTGAGCCTTCTTACAAGACCCATTGTAAGCGGCCACGTCTCGGTTCCGTATGTCATCACTGGCAACACGCACGAATTGAAGACTTTCGTCTTGAGGCACTGCGGTAGATGTTCCGAGAAGATGCTACGTAGCTTCCCGAACGCTGCCCAGCCGAGTTGGATTCGTCGATTAACCTCTTTCTGGAAGTTGGACTTACCCAGTTGGACTATTTGTCCCAGGTATACGTACTGGTCAACAACTTCCAGTGTAGAGCTCCCAACAGTCACTGGAGTGGGTACGACATGGGAATTCGACATGATTTTCGTCTTGTCCATGTTCATTTTGAGACCCACTTGTTGGGACACCCTACTGAGGTCGCCGAGCATTGTGCCAAGGTCATCCATGGTCTCAGCCATGACTACGATATCATCTGCAAATCGAAGGTGCGTCATGTACTCCCCGTTTATGTTGATGCCAAGTCCGCTCCAGTCCAAAAGTTTGAAAACGTCTTCCAGCGCAGCTGTAAACAGTTTCGGTGATATAACGTCACCCTGTCTTACACCACGCTGCAGCTGGATTGGCTTCGTGTTTTGTTCCTGGAGTCGAACTGACATAGTGGCGTTTTCATACAACGACTGCAACACTTCGATGTATCGATAGTCTATTTGGCACCTTTGGAGTGACCGAAGCACGGCCCATGTCTCGATCGAATCGAAGGCTTTCTCGTAGTCCACAAACGCCAAGCATAATGGCAGGTTATACTCTTCGGTCTTCTGTATAACCTGCCGCAGCGTATGGATGTGGTCTACGGTACTAAACCCTTTTCGGAATCCGGCTTGTTCGGGAGGCTGGAAGTCGTCAAACCTGCGCGCGAGACGATTCGTGAGGACTCTCGAAAACAGCTTGTATACATGACTCAGGAGCGTGATGGGTCTGTAATTCTTCAACTGGGCCCTGTCGCCCTTCTTGAAGAAAAGCGCCACCACTCCCCTATGCCATGCGCTAGGCGTTCTGCCCTCGAGTATGACAGAGTTAAATAGTTTCTGAAGAGATTTCAAGACTGGTCATCCACCTGCTTTCAGAAGCTCGGCTGTAACTCCGTCATCACCCGGCGCCTTATTGTTTTTGAGCTGTTTCAGAGCTACACTAATCTCGTACAGGCTGACGTCCGGGATATCTTCGGTGTAGTGTCGGGTTAATTTGGCTCTTGGGTCGGTCGCCTTTGTGACAGGTACTCGTGATGTCGCGTATAGCTGTCCGTAGAAGCTTTCGATCTCAGCCATAAGCTCAGGTTGCGACGAAATAATTCTGCCGTCCTCTGTCTTCAGCTTCGTCAGCAAACTCTGTCCAAGAGACAGATTTCTTGCGAACACTTTCGAGCCTTTGTTCCGCTCGATGGCCTCTTTAATACGATCAGTATTAAAGCGGCGTATGTCGCGAGTCAGAGACTTCGAAATCTGCCTATTGAGCTGCCGACGTGCATCTTCAGAGGACTGCAGACCCATCTCACGCCTTTTCTCCATGAGCTTGAGAGTCGGCTCCGAGATCTTGCTGCGTTTTTTGGTACGGATGGGCTTGCAGAACTTCGAGCCCACCGTAAGGACAGCTTCAACAAACCTGTCATTATAATTGTCCACGTCTACGCAGCTCTCTAGGCAATCGAAGCGATTTTGCAGTTCGAGTTGAAAGCGCTCGGGGTTTTGGATCCGGATGGCTTCAGGACGGAGCGTGGACTTCATCAGTCGATTCCTTTCGGCTTTGACATTTAGATTCAATGTGCCTCTTACCATTCGGTGATCGCTTCCCGTATTGAACGAATTGATCACTGAGACATCATTGAATATCCGAGTCTTAGTCGACATGATGAAGTCAATCTCATTTTTTGTCACGCCATCCGGACTTTTCCAGGTCCATTTTCGATGCAGCCGTTTTCTGAAGAAGGAGTTCATCATAAAGAGTCCCTCCTTCTCCATGTAATCGGCTAGCATTTGACCTCGGAAGTTCCGGATTCCAACTCCAAATTGCCCCACTTTCAACTCATCATCGCCACGTTTGCCCAGCCTTGCGTTGAAGTCCCCCATGACAACGGTGTAATGGGTCCTGGAAGCATGCATTGCCCGAGAAATATCCTCATACATGACTTCCACTTCCTCGTCGGGGTGCGTCGAGGTCGGAGCGTATACCTGTATGACCTTCAACGAATACCGTTTGGTGATTCTGAGTATAAGGTACGCCACCCTATTCGACACACTACCGATCTGTACAACATTGTTCACGAGAGACTTGTGGACAACAAACCCGACACCACCCTGGGACAGATCTTCGCCCTCCCGGAAATAGAGCAGGTTGCCGGATTTAAGGACCATCGTGTCCTCGCCCTCTCTTCGGACTTCTGATAGTCCTACAATACTCCAGCGAATCCTGCTCAATTCTTCCTCCAGTTCCAGCAGCTTCTCCTCGGTCCGCAGTGTGCGTGCGTTGTACGTTGCCAGGGCGAAGGTCGTTTGACGGGGGATTTTTGCCGCCCGGGGATTCTTCGCACCCCTGGTCCTGGCGCCGAGTCGGCGTCCGTCAGCGCCGCCACGGACTCCAGCACCGCCGGGCACTTGGGGCCTCTTATTATGTACTATCATTTTTTAGGGGGGGTTTTGGGCCGTCTCCCACCACGCTGGCCCAGTGCGGGTTGGTGGGGAGCGCCAGAGCCTCGTCCGTTGGTCGGCAGGGTACACCGCGGGCAGGTGAGGTTGGCTTGGGTGCCGTTGGGTGTTAGGCGGCACCCCTTATACCCCCTATCATCTATCTATCTATCTAATCATAACCTCATTAAGGCTTATTTTGCAAAACTACGGAGTAGCGGTAGTAAACAAAATTAGCGGCACTCGTACAGAAATCCTTTGAAAATTACCGCCACAGCGTCCCTTGCAATTTGAATTTGAACTTTAAGTCATTCTAATACAGCCGAGTTAGCAATGATGGTCGGCGTGTTTTCAAACGAGCCAAAAACAGGTGCCGGCACGCGCCCAGTGATGCGACAGTACTCCAGTATAATCTTTAATTATCTGTTTTAAGGCTGATTTCACTATTAAATAAAAGTAATTGTGTAGAGTAGGTAAAGACGCAACTTGTGGTGGCGCGCTTGATTTGCAACCGCGCGCCCGGCGCGGCGGCATCGGCCGAAATGCCGACAGGGTAGCAGGCCGCCCCGCCGGTTCCGCGAGCGAGTAGAGGGCGCTCGGCGCCCCCTTAGACCCGGCGACCCTACCCTAGATACACTACATCCGCTCAAAATGCAGCAGCTTGAACTCCACTTAAGCACTTCTTGGTTCACATTCACGCGCAGACCGTTGAAAAGTCAACCTGCCGCAGAGCTCCGTGAAATAATGCGAAAAAAATACTTGTAGTATGTAAAGTGTCGTTTCTTCGACTTCTTACTATAAACTGTTTAAATAGAAAATATTTGTGATATTCAAATGGTCACATGGTCATGTCATGGTCGGTTGTATAGCAGTCTCTTTTCCTCGCGGTCCGTACCTGCAATATTGTTTACAGCGCATTCAAAATTGCGCGTAGAATCAAAGGAATAAGGTCTATATTCTTCCGCACATAGCAATAAGTCGTAAAATTTAATGAGCTTGCATTTCGAACTGTTATAACTCTGACGCATACGCTTTGATTCAGACCTAATACCGTATGCATTAAAGGTGACTTTCAATGTTTTAATAATGCCTTATATTATTTTGCCAATGCGATCATCTTACGGAGCTCCGTGGATCGTCCAATGTATCTTTTGGACAGGTTTCGGACACGATTCGTGTTGGTATTTAATATCGTTGTGCACATTGTTTCATCGTGACGCGTTACATTGGCTGTGTACAGAACTAATTGAAAATAAGATTTCATCCTCAAGTGAGGCTATATTTACCGATACGGATTTTACGCGCTATCCCGTTATCTATAGTATTGTTAATCGATTTTCGATCAACTCGTTCAAACTCGTCAGCACTTGGATGTAACGATAGTCGCAGAGAAATCGGTCTGTTCTTCAGTAAGGTGTTGTCAGGTATCACCTTTTTGGAAGAAAAGTATCACCACGCTCCTCGTGAATAATGGAATTAAATAAATCTCTAAAATATTTAAAACGTACTAGTTTTTCGCCCGCTTTCAGGAGTTCTGCTATGATTTTGTGATCCCCTGGCGCTTTGTTGTTCTTCAGTTGTTGGAGAGTGTTACCAATCTCGTATAGGTTGACATCCGGGATATCTTCGATATTGTGTCGGGTTAATATGGTCTATCCAAAACATCAACAGGTTTAGTGTAAAGATATATTAACAAATGTATTTATTCTGATTAGAAGATGAAAAGATCATCCGCAGTTGTTAGCACCCACCAAAGCTGCACTGCGCTGCGCCTTCATGGTGGGTGACGGCCCAATCTCCGTATTCTATCCATAGGGAAGGCCTGGCCCCAGCAGTGGGGACATTAAAAGGATTTTGATGATGATGAAGAAATCTTATAATAAGCAGTGTTAAGCTCAAAATCCATCCAAGGTCCATGATCAAAGTAAATATTTATATATAATATTTTCCAGGTATACAGCCAACCCATATTCTAGCTGATACACATGCGCTTGTAACAGCCGTGGGGACCGGTAAAGGTCTGCGGCCTGGCATGCCGTCCATTGTGCCAGCGGGCATCGGTGGGCCCGGCATGGGCCCGTCGCGCGGACAAGCGCCGCAAATGGGTCCATCTACTCCTGCTATGCCAAAGGCACCGTCTGCTATCAAGACCAATATTAAATCAGCTAATCAAATACATCCTTATCGTTAAGATCATTTCATCAAATAAAAAAATATCAAATATTATATTGTAGGAGTTATTATTTGCTTATTTCAACGACAGTGTATATCTGTAGCTCAAAAAATAGGTATCTCCTTAATCCTTTACGATAAATAGTTTTTAGTAATGTGTGTGTGCGTAATAGTGTGCCATGACCAATATATCGAGCCCTTACCGCCAAATTATCGTAAGCGACACTCACCAAATTATCGTAAGCGACACTTTTGTCGAAATGCGTTTTTTGTGGAAACTAATATTTTAAACCGTAACGGACCCATCTCTGTTGATATTTCTCTCTATTATATTATAACGGTGTTCTTTTGGAGGGAAATACAGAGATGGGTCCGTTACGGTTTAAAATATTAGATTTCACAAAAAACGCATTTCGACAAAAGTGTCGCTTACAATATTTTGGCGAGTGTCGCTTACGATAATTTGGCGGTAAGGGCTCGATATGTATTAGACCGGGAGATGATGACACAAAATACTTGGTCATTTGTACCAGTATGGCGGTTCTTCAGGGGTCTAATTACGTAAAGGCAAAAAGGAAAATGATGGTCATAGCGCTCGCACCGGCGGCCCAATCGCGTGGGCGTTAATCGAACGCGTCGGATAAATAACGAGTGTCGAACGATTTATTCCACAAAAATGCTTATATTTTCAGATAGTCGAAAAAAAGAAGTAGGCGGTAGCGTAATGCCATACTTCTCGGGTGTGACTTACAGCCCGCCATACCGACGCGAATACATTAACTTAAATAAAACAATTCAATCATTTGTACCAGGCTAATTTTTGCACAGCTAATCATCGTCGAGTAGCCATTCACGAAAATCACCTTGCCATACTTTTCCGACAGTTCCCAATGGCCGCCATACCGCTGCTAAGGAGTAATTTTTTTTTTCGCCAAACGATTTGTACCAGTATTGCATTTGAATTTTTGGAAAGTATTTGGCAAAATGTGACCGTTATTATTTTTCCCATACTTCTAGTAGGGGGAAAAAGTGCTGCCATACTTGAAATACTTATTTATTTGACATGCGACTGCAAAATACGTAAAATCATTTTTTACATCATGACATCATTGTATTCTCGTCATTTGGATACAATTGTACGTAAAAAAAAATATTACAGATTGTAAACATGGGGCGGATGACTGTCGGACTTGAGCTAAAAGGTGAAAAAGAAAAAAAAAATTGACGATTTGTACCAGTATGGCATTTGGATTTTTGGAAATTATACGATACAATGTGACCATTATTATATTTGCCATACTTGTAGTAGAGGGAAAAAGTAGCGCCATACTGGTACAAATCGTTCGAATTACGAATAAAATCTTGGGACTTTGAAAAAATATTGTTTACATTCGCCACCTCCCACAGGTATGGCATTATCAGACTTCTATTTATGATCATACGGGGAACTGTTAAAAAAAGTTTCAGGGTGGTACAAATCGTTTGGCGAAAAAAAAAATTACTCCTTTGCAGCGGTATGGCGGCCATTGGGAACTGTCGGAAAAGTATGGCAAGGTGATTTTCGTGAAGTTGCGATGTACAGCTTGCCGGCTTCGGTGTTGCGTGATTGCTGCGCTGGGTGGCTGATCGCGGAGGGTAGCGGGATCCTAAGCACGGTTCTCCGCTGGCCGACCGCAGGTAGTAGGGGGCCCAAGTAGTAGGAAAGCCACCTACGAAAGGCTGCCCCGCCAACTCGCGAAAAATCCCAAGGTGCGCCATCGTGCCGGTTGGCGACCGGATGCGAGGGCCCGATGGACACTTTTGGGGGGGTTAGGGCGTCCCCGCGCGCTCCAGCTCAGTCACCCGTCAGTGTGGCGTCATAACTGCATCGCTTGGCAGTAGCTTAGCAGAGTCTCGCTCATCTGTCCCCTTCCTGCCTGTTCACTCTCTACTTATGAAAAAAAAAATATGAACGTCAAAAGAAAGAAACTGGTGAAACAGCGGATGCACTCCCTCGCACTAAAAGTGCACCTTGCTAACGTCCGAGGATTGCACTCAAATATCGATAGTGTCCATCACCACCTTGAGACCGATAAACCACATCTGCTGTTCCTCACGGAGACTCAAATAAGATGCCCGACTGACGCAGCTTACTTGCATTACCCAGGTTACATCCTGGAGCACAATTTTAAATCGCGCGCTGGCACCTGCGTGTATGCTCGTGATGACATCTGCTGCCAACGTCTCCGCAACCTTGAGGATCCCAGTTTCTCTACATTATGGGTGCTGGTGAACACAGGTATAGAGCAAATACTCTATGCCAGTGTTTATCGGTCGCACACAGAGAACATGGAGACAACCAGGTTTTTTCAGTACCTCAGCGCCTCCGCTGAAACAGCCCAGCAAAGGTACCCGAGTGCGCAGCTAGTCGTTCTGGGGGACTTTAACGCACACCACCATGAGTGGTTGTTCCCGTTCCAGAAAACCGACCATGCCGGGAGATTAGCGCACACATTTGCTATGTCGCTAGGTCTCTCCCAGCTTGTGAAGGGCGCTACACGTGTACCCGATATTGATAGCCACACACCAAACTGCCTGGACCTTCTGCTGTCAACAGACCCGGACCGTTACCAGGTGGTAATTTCGTCTCCTCTAGGGAGTTCCGACCACTGTCTGGTGAAGTCCGTATCAGTCTACTCTCCAAGCGACCCGGAACCTATCGGAACTAGGCGTGTTTGGCAATATGGTTCAGCAGACTGGGATGAGATGCGGCATTTCTTTGCATCTTATCCTTGGCGTCGCACCTGCTTTTCTTCGGACGACCCGACTTGCTGCGCGGATGCCATTGCTGACGTGGTGCGTCAGGCTATGGAGTACTTTATTCCATATTCTGACGTACCACGCCGGTTTAGCGCCCGCCCTTGGTTTGACGCGGACTGTGCTAAAGCAGAGGCGCTTAAGCATTTTGCGTATCGCTCCTGGGCGGATGCTCGAGCCCGCAAATCACCAAATGTTCGAAGTCTGAAGAAGGCCTTTAACAGTGCCGCCAAGTCCTGTAAAGGTGTTCTCCGCAAGGCCCGCTTCGATCACATTGGCCGTATAGGAGCCAAATTAGCCTCCTTTCCATCCGGAAGCAAGGCTTTCTGGTCCCTAGCCAAAACAGTCGAAGCCAATTTTTGCCGGTCGTCGCTGCCGCCTTTAATTAAACCTGACGGATCGCTGGCTCACACCTCCAAAGAGAAGGCTGACTTGTTTGCCTCTATATTTGCGAATAACTCACAGCTAGATGCTGCTGGCGTAAACCCACCTAAGCTTCCTCAGTGTTCTTCTGCCATGTTGGAAGTTCGCATCCATCAGAAAGAGGTACTAAAAACGCTAAGCACTCTAGACGTGAATAAAGCCAGTGGGCCCGATGGCATTCCAGCTATTGTCCTGCGGAATTGTGCCCCTGAGTTGTCTCCTATTCTGACTCGCCTATATCGCTTATCCCTTGAGATTGGCCAAGTTCCGAAAACCTGGAAGCTTGCCAATGTCCAGCCAGTGCCCAAAAAGGGTAGTCGTGCCGACCCTGCCAACTATCGACCTATTGCAATCACCTCCATACTCTGTAAGATTATGGAGCGTGTATTGAACAACCGTCTCCTCGCTTACCTCGAAGATAACGATCTCCTCAGTGACTGCCAATTCGGTTTCCGCCGTGGGCGATCTACTGGGGATCTTCTTGTGTATGCTACCCACTTATGGAGTGAAGCCATAGAGAAACGCGGCGAAGCTCTCGCCGTTTCTCTTGATATTTCTAAGGCTTTTGACAGGGTCTGGCATGCAAGTCTCATTGGCAAGCTTCCTTCATATGGAATCGCTGTCGGACTTTGCAACTGGATTGCAGATTTTCTGAGGGGCAGATCGATACGAGTGGTCATTAATGGCACATCGTCGGATCTGCTTGGTATTAATGCCGGTGTCCCCCAGGGATCTGTCCTCTCCGCAACTCTATTCTTGCTGCACATCAATGATCTGCTCCTGACTCCTGGTATCTTTGGGTATGCAGATGACAGCACAGTTTCGGGGAGATATCTGCCTGATGTGAAGTCTGATGCAGATGTCCGATCATTAAGGGAGGCGATGGTGGAGGGAGTGAATGCAACCCCGGAAGCTGTTTCCCTCTGGGGTGAAGCCAACTTGGTTGGATTCAATCCCTCTAAAACACAGGCCTGTCTCTTCTCGACGAAACGGAGTCAATTCCATCTAACTCCGACTTTCCGAAATGTCTCCGTGCCGGTTAAAGACCATCTCGAGCTCTTGGGTATGGACATCTCATCCAGCCTCAATTTCGGTCCCTACATCGAGTCCATTGCTAAAACCGCTGCCAGAAAACTTGGAATACTTTCTAAGGTCAGGCGATATTTTACATCTGAGCAGCTCCTTAACCTTTATCGAGCCCAAGTTCGCTCCTGCTTGGAGTACTGTTGTCACCTTTGGGACGGATCTGCTCGGTATCAGCTGGATGCACTGGACTCGGTGGAACACCGTGCGAAGAGACTCATAGGCAATGACGCTCTCGTTGAGGCTAATCTTCAGAGCCTCCACCACCGAAGACGTGTAGCTTGCCTTTCGGTGTTTTATCGGTTACATTTCGGAGAGTGTGCGGAGGTATTACATAATTTGATCCCCCCTTCCCCTTTCCACCACCGGACGACCAGGCGCGGCGAGGGCTTCCACCCTTATGTTGTCGAAGTTCCTCCTATTCGCACGAAGCGATTTGCTTCGGCCTTCATTATACGAACGGCTAGGGAGTGGAACTCCTTGCCGAGGTCTGTTTTCCCGGACCAATATAATCTGGACATCTTCAAGGCCAGAGTGAACAGGCATCTTCTAGGCAGGCGTGTACCATCCTAGGCCTCATCATCGCTTTCCATCAGGTGAGATTGTAGTCAAACGCATTGCCTATTTTGCATAAAAAAAAAAAAAAAAAAAAAAAGAATGGCTACTCGACGATGATTAGCTGTGCAAAAATTAGCCTGGTACAAATGGTTGAATTGTTTTATTTAAATTAATGTATTCGCGTCGGTATGGCGGGCTGTAAGTCACACCCGAGAAGTATGGCATTACGCTACCGCCTACTTCTTTTTTTCGACTATCTGAAAATATAAGCATTTTTGTGGAACAAATCGTTCGACACTCGTTATTTATCCGACGCGTTCGATTAACGCCCACGCGATTGGGCCGCCGGTGCGAGCGCTATGACCATCATTTTCCTTTTTGCCTTTACGTAATTAGACCCCTGAAGAACCGCCATACTGGTACAAATGACCAAGTATTTTGTGTCATCATCTCCCGGTCTATATTGGTTCGAGGTAATTTGTAAACAATTGTAAACACACTGGTAAATCATAAATAAATAATATAAAACTTTATCATGTGCGCGTGAACTGAGGGACCATATCGAATTTCTCTTATAATATAATCTCACTTCCGGACATACTATCGGCCCACCTAGCATTTTATGTTTTGACGGTCCCTAGCTAAAACTAAATGATACATTAAAGTAAAAATTATTCCTACGCAATTTGAAGCTGCGTGATCTTTTCGTGTGTTTCTATAATTATTTTTCAAATTTAAACATATTTTTTGCTACGGATCGTTGAAACTTATAACTCTAAGTGGGCCGATATATGTAACATAGTTAGCAGGATTTAGTAGTTGTCTTAAAATAATTTTGAAAAACAAGTCTCTATTTGTATTAAAATATTTTAGAAATTACAGCCCACAGACCATCAGCTAAATCTCGGAAAGTATCAAATACACTGTGGTAATTACAAATATTTAGTAGCAAAGAACATGTTTATTTGGCCTAAAAATATTTTGATTCTAACGACATGTGTGCGTTTTCTGAAAGAGAAGATTAACTATACTTGTTTTACGAAAACAAAAAAGACAAGGTTGTACGGTTCAATTGAAGTTTGAGGTGTATTAATAAAAAATAAATGTTATCCTCACGCAGCGCTGCTCTATGAAATTACATGAAAGAAACACGTGGAGCGGACGTCTGCTCCGTGCTCCCGCTTTAGCGCAGTCAAGGGCCTGTACATTTTTCAAATCTATACTAATAATATAAAGCTGCAGTTTGTTTGTTTGAACGCGCTAATCTCTGGAACTACTGGTCCGATTTGAATGATTCTTTCAGTGTTGGGTAGTCCATTTATCGAGGAAGGTTTTTTTTCAAAATTAAGGATCTGTAATAAAATTGTTTTTTTGTAACACAAGGTGTAAAATCGAAAACCTATTTTTGCGTGCACTGCAAAAACTATTGACAATAGAACAAAATGATGTACTACGGATTTGTAGATCCCATTAAAACCTACAAAAAAATCCGCAAGAACATATATCTAGCTATCAGGGTTTAATCACAATAACCGATTTTGTGTTCAAAATAATTATTAAATCGTCTGAATTAAAAAAAAACTACGTTAAATATGTATCGTAATATTAATCTTTATCGAAATTAAGCATTATGTTATCAAGAGTATTTATGTAGAAGTAAAATACTTTTTGTTTCATCTCAATCGGACATTTCGTTTAAAAGTTATCACGTATGTAAGATGTTAAGAGTTGGTACCTATTAATGAGTTATGGGCCATAGAGTTTTTTATCAACATAAAATCCTGTAATAATCTTTTGCGAAATATATTTGTTGATGATTGTAAGTATAACATCTTTGAAGAGTATAATAAATACATTTCTAAAATAACTCTGCTAAGGAAATCCACGCGCGCTTGATGCAAGCAAGACAAGACGCTGGCGGCGCGGCGGCGGGCGAGACGAGGAGGCGGAGCTTGCTGGCCGCCTGTCGCTCTTATTTAGGCTGGTTTCACAGCTATCCGGGAGACCCGTACGGGCTGTCAGTACGGGCGCCCGGAGCGGGAGCACATGTTAGGCGCTAGAACATCGTTTCACAGCGACGCGGATTGGTGCGCCTAACATGTGCTCCCGCTCCGGACGTCGTACGGGTCTCCCGGATAGCTGTGAAACCAGCCTTATTGAAAGAAATTGAAAAAAATATTTTATTGAAAGTATAACAGTACACGGTCTAAGGGTGCACTTAAAAAGGAACGCCCCCCCCCCCCTCACCTCCCCGAAGGGTTTCAAATAGGGGTTTTAGGTTTTAATGAAAGGTTGTATGAAAAATCTTATTCCTTGGGTAAACTAAGAGACTTAAAACTTGACTCGAATACAAACCGTAAACAGACTGAGAAAAATCAGATTGTATAAACAATAGGCTACTTGAAATGACTAATTTCACGCGTATGAAGTCGCGGGCAACAGCTAGTATTTTATAAAATTTCTCAGACTCGTTCTACAAAATTGATTTAAGACTAATACTATCCTGTTAACCCCAAGGAGCATCGCAATATGAAAGATTGATTGAAATAAAACAAAAGTATAAATTTCTTATTTTATTGATACAATCCTCAACAACAAATATACGAGCACTACAAGATGCTTAATTGTTAAATTACATTAAATTCTTAATAAACTAAAATATTTTTATTGATACATATTTATTATAAGTAAATCACAATCAACTTTCAGTTGACTAACTATTCAACTAAAGGAACGTAGCTAAATATTATCATTGTGTTTTACACCCTGAAGTTGTATTTTTCATAGAATTTGCTATAAGTTCCGATCACAATACAGGTGACAATTACATTACACAAATATATTTAATACAACAATTTTTATGTTTTTGGAGTTGTTTTAAGAACTATGGGGAAAATGAACAGTAGTTAGAAGTACATACGCCTCACAAGTATAGGCCGCCTGATAGTAGGAATAAAAGAAATAGAATTTTTAGTTCCTTAGCATAATATTGATAAAGTATAATAAAATTGAAATAAACCCTTACTAGGGATAAATAATATTGCGCTTATTGAAAAAAAAAACAAATTCAAACTTCAGAGCACTAATATTTTCGTAGGATTGTGTCCTACTGAAGTGCGGCCAACGTAAGAATGCGATCATGACAGGTTGTATCACTACCTATGTTAACAGAATAAAGTATTCTTCCGATTAAGTATAAAAGAGGTTTGAATATAAACTCTAGTGCTATCGCCATAAGGAACTTACCACGACTGTTAGGATCGCATTCTTTCCGTAGACCGTACCGTACCTACCTAGCTATCATCTTTGCATTCAGATCACGTTATAAACGATTTATTTCATATCAAGTCAACTTATTTATTTATATTGTCTTCAACGAAAGTTGTAACTGCTACAAGAATAACTTCATTATTTACAGTCTAAGCACTTGCAGCTACTTTAAGTATAAAAACCCCAAAAATACATGTCAAATTTCAATCTAAATTTTAAATAAAATTTTAATGAATAAAAAAACACAATAAATTTTTTTTCATATACGAGACAAAATAAATATTCCAAACACAAACATATCACTTTGAACGAAATATATATAAATCACACTTCATAGAGATCTGGTCGAAAGCGTATTTTCAACAATCTTAAGTTAGCCTCTCTACCTTTCAAACTGAAGGTACCGACAATTTTACAGATCATATAATATTACCGACCACAAATTATAACATCAAATTATTTTTACGTGACGCCTTTTATTATATATATTTCAACTAAAATGTTAAAAGCCACAATGCCGTTTTAAGATACATTATATATTTTGCCATTCTCACTTAAATGGTCTATAAATCGAACATTTATTTTTGTAAACGTGTGTTTGCGGAAACGTGTTTTATCTTTTGTCTACACAACCTAAGTAAGAGAATTGTTATACATTTTTGGGAAGATATTTAAGGCACAATTTGTCTCGTGTCTAAGTAGTCATGACAATATTCTCCTGATAAACCTAAGTACTGAATCGCAGACCAGACTTCAGCCAGGCCTCATTCATAAATATAAAGGGTCGATTGAGTACCGCTTCCCTGAAGGGATATATACATATTACAAAATAACCTCGAGAACATTATTTGCAAAAAAATATTATCTTGTTTAAAAATATAAAGGTCGATTTAGCGCCGCTACCCTTCTACGAACTTCTGCAGATCTGTACTTAAGTACAGAGATCTGCAGATATGTACTGCGAGAAATATTGAACAAGTTTTTATCTTGCCTCAAATACCTACTCAAATGTTGAACAGTTCTTAGACAATCTATTACACCTCTCGGCATATATTTGTCGGATGTTAGGTGGTCCTATCCTGCAATAAAATGCAATTTAACATTAAAAAAAAAACTTCGTGATAGACATACAGAATAGACTGAGCGACAATCGCATGAAAAGAGAGAAAATACAGCCAATACATAGACGAACTATAGGCCAGCCGATCACATTATCTGCCCAGTTTGACTTTACAGCTGGTTAGGAAAAACCTAGTCCTCCATGATTTAGTTCCTAGAGTAACAATTCTATAAAAATAAAACGAAAATACAAACCAAGCGCAACCACATTAGGGTAGGACCAACTTTTGAAAATATAAATATATATCAATGGTGATTAGTTATCGGATTTAACTGTACAGTCACTTACTTTAATTTGGACCCACTAGAGGTTAAATGTCGTACAAGGAACAAACACTTAAACAGCTTCTACTTATATTTGAAACAACCAAATTAGTATTTCGTTATATTCGAAATCATAACGTTACGATTTTATTTTACCGTTATTTTTGTACTGAAGCTTTCGACCTTATTGCATGGGAATATTCAAACAATATTTCTATGAAGTAGGTCGAAAATTAAAGCACTAGACTGTACATTACAAATAGGTCTTAAAATCTATAGCGTAATAAAGTTTATGTTAGTAATCGGATTGATGTAGAGTATCTAGTTGAGATGAAAGCCGCGCTCGTTAGTGGCGGCTAGCAGTCTTTCCCTCAGCACCTCTTTGCATGAGTACTCCGGCAACTTCAAGTAATGTACGCAGGTATTCACCGATGGATAAGAACCGTCACCGGCATCCACCTTAATAAAACAAAATAAACAAGTTGGATTTAGATATTTAAGCTAGTTCTTAAATGAATATATTTAGTCTCATGTTTGATGATCTGCCAACTTCACAAGGGATACGATATGTTTTGCGACAAAGTCATTATGAGACGTGGTCAAATAAATATGTAGTTAATGAGGGTAGTCACACTGCGACCTTGACAACCTTGGATCAACCCTTTTGCACCTAAGATTAAAACAAAAAGGGAAGATACATACACAACAAACCGTGATTTTGAGAAAAATGTTTTTACAGTTTTACGAATGAAAAGTGTTGCCGACAGGGGCGGTTTACGAAAACGGGCGCCCTAGGCCAGACGAAATTAGCGCCCCCTCTCCCCTCTCCATAAAATAGTTGAAAAAGCACAGGCTAGAATAAATGATTTTTATACACTCCCGCTCAAAAGTATGGGTTCACGTCTCGAAATTTTCAGCTTCGGTATAAGTTCCATATCTTGGTGGAAAAAGGTCGTAAGAGAATTTAATGAGCACCGTTTTGAAGGGGACAGTTTTAGCTTCACTTTGCCATTTTTTATAATTTTTTACAATTTTTTTTATAGTCCCCACGCGCTTTTGAACATGGCAGTTTTTCGATGTTTTTTTGTCCTCTGGGAACGGGCTGTCTGGCTGTTAAAAAATTTTCCTTGCAATTTTATCCATCGCAGTTGGAAAGAGGATATTAAACACTGCATTTTCGTTTTTGAAAAAGTATCGTGCGATTTTTTTTACCAAAAATATTCTAATTTTTGACAAAAATTGATAATTTTATTCAATTCGGCGTATCTTGAAAACGGCGGGTGATCGAAGAAAATAGCAAGAGGGTGAAAAGTTGCAATAGATCATGATGGACATGGTAGATTTATTTCAGATTTTTTTTCCGACATTTGTTTTTCCATACTCGTGGAGTCGAAATGATTTTAATTTTCCCATGATTCTTTCTTTTTTCTAAACGGCTGAGGCATTGCTTTTATTGGTTTCATCTTCATCTTGACGTAATTTGAACTAAAAATTAATTTTTTTGAATGAAAAAAACGTACAAAAAATTGTGCGAAATTTGATTTTTAGTAAAAATTACGTCAAGATGGTTATAAAACCAATAAAAGAAATGCCTGCGCCGTCTAAAAAAAAGAAAAAATCATGAGAAAATTTAAATCATTTCGACTGCAAGAGTATGAAAAAACAAATGTCGGAAAAAATTTCTGAAATAAATCTACAAGGTCCATCATGATCTATTGCAACTTTTCACCCCCTTGCTATTTTCTTCGATCACCCGCCGTTTTCAAGATACGCCGAATTGAATAAATATCAATTTTTGTCGAAAATTAGAATATTTTTGGTAAAAAAAATCGCACGATACTTTTTCAAAAACAAAAATGCAGTGTTTAATATCCTCTTTGAAACTGCGATGAATGAAATTGCAAGGAAAATTTTTTAACAGCCAGACAGCCCGTTTCCAGAGGGCAAAAAAACATCGAAAAACTGCCATGTTCAAAAGCGCGTGGGGACTATAAAAAAAATTGTAAAAAATTATAAAAAATGGCAAAGTGGAGCTAAAACTGTCCCCTTCAAAACGGTGCTCATTAAATTCTCTTACGACCTTTTTCCACCAAGATATGGAACTTATACCGAAGCTGAAAATTTCGAAAAGTGAACCCATACTTTTGAGCGGGAGTGTATTTCAAAAATAAATTAACGGAAACAGAATTTCAATCATACATATATTATGTAGGTTTGTGGGTAGGAATGGAGCACATATATATTTTATTTATTGGCGATATTGACGTTTGAGTGGACCCGATTAAAAGGTTCGCTTTCTCGCTTTTAATCTTTCAAATTTATCGGCCCGTGGCGCCCCCTTATGCCACGGCGCCCTAGGCTCGGGCCTAGCGGGCCTAGTGCATAAACCGCCCCTGGTTGCCGAGGCATTTGTTATTTGATTTTGAACTATTTGTGTTCTTTATAAAAGATTTGCCGTGAATGTTATTTACGTATCCATTTGCCTTCCGTTGCCATTTTATTATCAAGAAAAGTACAGCAATACAGCTCAGCCGTTCGCACTCGGAAGCTGATTCGCCATTTCGCTCGCTCTGCATTGAAGCGTACAGTTCTGTCTCGCTCACTCGATTGAATGTTATTTACAGATGTGTGCGTGTGTATAGATTATTAAAATTAAGAATTTTCGACTTGACGTCAAAAGACGTTGATAAGTTTACCTTTCGCACGACGGTGAGTCTCGGATGCAAGTTGGCGAGCCCGCCGGGCGGCAGGCTGCTGCAGCCGGTAGCGAATTGTAGGAAGGCCTTACGCTCGCGCACCGACATCTCCACCAATACGTCCACCAGACGCAGGAACCCGGGACTGCGGGGTGATCTCACGTTAGTATAAATAAATAAATATTGCAACACACATAGGGTAACCCATTGAGGAATTTCAAAAGTCCTAACAAAAATCCTGACATTTCGAAAAAAGTCCGGACTTTTTAGTCCCAAAATGATACCATTCCTCACTTACTTACAATGGTATGGTATTTAAATAAATATGTACTTTTTTTATTCATATTCAATGTAATTTAAAAATTCCGGATAATTCAAAGATCCGGACAAAGTACGGACTGTAGTCGTAAAAGTCTGGACATGTCCGGATTAATCCGGACGGATGGTAACCCTTAACACACAGCAATCAGCCTAGCCTCAAAGTAAACACTCACACAAGGTAAGGATTACGTTATGATCCCATAACATAATCAAGCTAAGGTATCGGAACACATACACAGTCAGGTCATAAGTATTGTCACACAGTAAAAACTTTTCTTTTTGAATGCTGGCCACAAAAAAGTTTATCGAATTGGAATTTGATGAATGAAATTGCAAGGAAAATTTTTTAACAGCCAGACAGCCCGTTTCCAGAGGGCAAAAAAACATCGAAAAACTGCCATGTTCAAAAGCGCGTGGGGACTATAAAAAAAATTGTAAAAAATTATAAAAAATGGCAAAGTGGAGCTAAAACTGTCCCCTTCAAAACGGTGCTCATTAAATTCTCTTACGACCTTTTTCCACCAAGATATGGAACTTATACCGAAGCTGAAAATTTCGAAAAGTGAACCCATACTTTTGAGCGGGAGTGTATTTCAAAAATAATTTAACGGAAACAGAATTTCAATCATACATATATTATGTAGGTTTGTGGGTAGGAATGGAGCACATATATATTTTATTTATTGGCGATATTGACGTTTGAGTGGACCCGATTAAAACGTTCGCTTTCTCGCTTTTAATCTTTCAAATTTATCGGCCCGTGGCGCCCCCTTCTGCCACGGCGCCCTAGGCATCTCCACCAATACGTCCACCAGACGCAGGAACCCGGGACTGCGGGGTGATCTCACGTTAGTATAAATAAATAAATATTGCAACACACATAGGGTAACCCATTGAGGAATTTCAAAAGTCCTAACAAAAATCCTGACATTTCGAAAAAAGTCCGGACTTTTTAGTCCCAAAATGATACCATTCCTCACTTACTTACAATGGTATGGTATTTAAATAAATATGTACTTTTTTTATTCATATTCAATGTAATTTAAAAATTCCGGATAATTCAAAGATCCGGACAAAGTACGGACTGTAGTCGTAAAAGTCTGGACATGTCCGGATTAATCCGGACGGATGGTAACCCTTAACACACAGCAATCAGCCTAGCCTCAAAGTAAACACTCACACAAGGTAAGGATTACGTTATGATCCCATAACATAATCAAGCTAAGGTATCGGAACACATACACAGTCAGGTCATAAGTATTGTCACACAGTAAAAACTTTTCTTTTAGAATGCTGGCCACAGCAAAGGTTATTGAATTCAAATTTCGAATTGTGCATGAAAATAAAACTGTATACTTTTTAGAATTTTACTCATTTTTAAATATGGAGTGGACGCTTTAAAGAAGACCGTGTTGCAGTTATTGCGTTGCATCGTTGCGGTTACGCGCCCATTCAAATTTTTGACATACTGAAAACTTTGAATATAAGCAAAAGATTCGTTTATCGTACCATCAAACGATACAATGAAGACTCTAGTGTAGATGACAGGCCAAGAAGTAGTCGCCCTCAGTTTGTTAGGACTCCAGCAGTGATAAAAGCTGTCAAGGCGCGAATTCAAAGAAATCCCAAATGTAAGCAGAAACTGTTGGCCCTATAGATAGGGTTAAGCAGAACCACGGTGAAAAGGGTGTTAAATGAAGACTTAGGGCTTCGGGCATATCGAAGAAAAACAGGACATCTTTTGAATGCTCGTCTAATGGACCTGAGACTGAAGAGATGCCGCGCTTTGTTGAAGCGGTACGCGGGAAAAAAATATCAGTAAAATCTTTTTTCGGATGAAGATTACCGTAGAAGAGAGCTACAGCAAACGAAATGATAAGGTGTACGCACACAGTAGTGAAGAAGCGAGCAACCGTATTCCGCGTGTCCAACGAGGTCATTTTCCATCCACGCTCATGGTATGGTTGGGAGTTTCTTATTGGGGCTTAACAGAGGTACATTTTTGTGAGACAGGTGTAAAATCGAATGCAGTTGTGTATCAAAATACAGTCCTGACGAACTTTTTGGAACCTGTTTCTCATACCATGTTCAATAACAGGCAATGGGTATCCCAACAAGATTCGGCGACAGCTCATAGAGCTCACACAAGACTGGCTGTCGGCGCTTGAAATCGACTTCATCCGGCACGAAGACTGGCCCTCCTCCAGCCCAGATTTGAGTCCGTTAGATTACAAGATATGGCAACACTTGGAGGAAAAGGCGTGCTCAAAGCCTCATCCCAATTTGGAGTCACTCAAGACATCCTTGATTAAGGCAGCCGCCGATATTGACTTGACATGGACCTCGTTCGTGCTGCGATAGACGACTGGCCGCGCAGATTGAAGGTCTGTATTCAAAATCACGGAGGTCATTTTGAATAAACTTTAATGTCATAAGAATCTTATGTTTTGTTAAGTTCATTTTGGTATATAAATGGTTACATAATTAATAAACTTGTTTCAATTATTTCATATTAAACATGTGACAGAATTTATGACCTGACTAGGTACTATGGGGTAACATACTAGACACTGATGATGATGAAGCAGTCCAGCTTGACTGCTTTAAGCTGTGTAGTGAACTACTACTAGTCTTCTACGTACACACAAATACGGACCGCTCGAGCTGTATCGGGCGGTTGGCAGCGCGGTGAACTGGCAGCTTGAAGTTGTCGACTGTGACTACAAGAGCGGTCCGTGAATGTTGATCACAGTCGAACTTAATTATTTATTTATTTATTCATTTATTGCATGTCACATAACATTCATGGTGGTACGTTAATTTATGTAAAGTAAATATGTGACGCCCTGCAAGGGCATAGCAAATATCAAGCCAGAGGACTTGTTAAATAATTATATTATAATACTTAGTTCATATTTCATTTTTACACAACAAATATATTTAATAAAATAGATTTAACAATTTCAATAAACAACAATAATAATAATTTAATTTTTACACAACAAACAATTCAATTTTATAAACTAGATTTAACAATGTCAATAAGCAATAATAATAATAATGAAAATGTCAACTTTAAAAATCAATTACATTTGTCGTCAAAAAATTCTTTTAAATTATAAAAACATTTTTGGATTAAATATGATTTTAATTGATTGTTGAATTTGGCTGATATTTCTACGTTCTTTATATTATTAGGTACATTATTATAGATTTTTATTGTCATAGCATGAGGACTATCCGAAACCAATCTTAATTTGCTGTATGGCACTTCTAATTTATTTAAATACCTATTATTTCTTTTAACACTTACTATTGGTGAATAAAATTCTGGGTGTTTTCTTACAAATTTACATGATTCAAGGATGAGTATGGATGCAAGGGTCAAAATTCTATGTTTAATAAAATAAGGTCTACATGATTCCATCTGATCGATGTTTGTCAAAATTCGTATGCATTTCTTTTGCATACGAACTACTCAAGCAGGCTGTGTATGACCAGTCTCAGAGCTATATTTCAACGGGACACCATGGCGGCGCAATCAGTAGCCGCTTACAACAAAATGCATGGAACTCTATAGAGAATGTTAAGGAGTTGATCGATTTGCGTAACAGCGAGACAGTGGTTTAAATAAACCTTTGGCTCGCCGGCTCGTTGGCTTTCGTTGGTGATCCATTGGCGAGCCTAACAATCTAATCTTATCGTTGGCGAAGTCATGGCGTGTTCCCAGACGGAGTTACTTTGTTACTTGGTATACTCAAAATAAATATACCTGTCGCGCGTGTAGCCCAGCTTGGGCTCGGTGTACTGCAGCAGGGTGTCGCGCGTCCAGGCGGGCCCGCGCTCGCCGCAAAGCAACAGGCGCAGCTCGGCGGGGCAGAAGGCGCGCAGCCGGCGGGGCGGGAACACGGCCCGGAACCCGCGCCGGAACGCCGCCGTCTGCCGCCGCACGCCCTCGCGCACCGCCCACCGCGCCGACGCCTCCGCGTACGCGCGACTGTTGTGCGCGCCCACCTACACACACACACACAATCCATCGTTTAAATCTAAAAAAAAAAACAATTCATTTAGTCCCATTCGCCCCCGCGAGGTTTGCCACTCGAGGTATTTGGGAATGAAGTCATTGCCCACATTTCAGTTTTTTACTCCCATTTCCGGTGACAACCCTCGCGAAGGTGACGGTGACTGGGAATATACAGAGAAATTTATACTAAAAGAAAATCTCTAGGTATTGTGAGTTTATTCCCAGTCGCCACCGTGGTGATTGTCACCGGAGGCAAATGGAAATGATGTCATTGTGCCTACTTCAGTTTTTATTCCCATTTTCGGTGGCAAACCCCGTGGGCGGGAATATAGGAGAAAACTTTACTATAAGAAAATTCTGTAGACATCGATGGTTGGCTGCGATGCGAAAAGATGGCGTTACCTTGCAGCCTAAGTACCTGCGCTGCGTTAAGCGAGAACACGGAGCGGGCGTCCGTTCCGCATGTTTGTTCTATGTTATTTCATAGAGCAGCGCTGCGTAAGACGGGCCGCTCGCTTAATGCAACACAGGCTCTTAAGAAATACTAAAAGAAACTGGACACGGTTATTAAGGTCGCGACAGCATAATTGGTCAGTGCATCCGCCTGGATAGCGGAGGGTGCGAGTTCGAGTTCCGTCTGCTGCATGGACCGTGTGGATTTTTTTCTAGTATTTATTTTTTAAACTTCTAGCAGTTAAATTCATAAAATAAAAATATAATAAAAATTTTCATTTTCATTTCATTTCAAGTTATGTGTATTTGTGAAAGAGTAACTACTCTGTTGAATGAAATAACTTAGGGTTGCTTTCCAATTACAGAGCATAATGCGACTCAGTGCCGCACAATGCCGAATTATGCTGATGCTTAATTGGAACGTGAATTAGTTTTCAAATGCACCAGCAGAGTGCGCTAAGTACAGTGTTGAAAATAAAAGTCAATGTTTGTACCTTCATCCATACTTATATTTATTTTTTTAACATTTTGAATTAACTTTGATTGTTTAAAAAAAGCTATTTAATGAAACGAAAGCTTTAATAATTGTTCAACAATAAATAATATTACTTACGATAACATATAAATAAAACATTTCGATCAATGCCAACTTAAAGAAAAAACACTTGTTAATTTTGTGTCACTGGGTTGGTACGATTGCACGCATCACACGAAAGCATTACTTTTGAGAGTGCTCAATAGGGAAGATGCATATATAATATTTATAAAAAAATTATGATTAAAATGTTAAAAAAATATAAAAGAAATGCCACTGCAACGTTTTTATTTTACATAATGTTGTTTTTTAACAATTATTACGAATTAAAAATACTTGAAAGAGAAGGTATTTTAAAACACCAATCAGCGTTTAGTGACGTCACTCCTGTTATGAACTTTGGGTCAGAAGTTCCAGTCAAAAACCATTTATTTGGAAACTTTGTTGAAATAGATTGGCACAAAACATGAGTCAACACGGCTTTTTTTCGGAATATTAGTGGTTGTAGACTATAAACACTTGAGATGCGTCTGAGAAGCCGTGTAACTCTATCTCAGCTTCTGTACTACATCTTGTCCATCTTGGAATTTGTATATCTTCGAGCACAGGTAAGTCTTCTTTATATTTATACCATTCTTTTTTCAGGTCATCAGAAAGTTCATCATCCCAGTCAATCTTTCTGAGCCATAACTTTTGCATAAATATTATCGAAGGAGAAATCCACCCCATCGGGTCAAATAGTGAAGCTATTTGACGAAGTACGCTTCGCTTGGTAAGTCGTTGACAATTTTCGTGTTTCAGATATTTCTGTGCTATTTTCAAGATATCTTCTACTGGATTCCATAAAATACCTAATGTCTTTATACACTCTTTGTTATTGAATTCTGATTCTATACATTTAGCTCTATATTCAGGATCTATTGACATCATGAATTCTTGACTATTAGATGATATCTTCTGCATCTCAAATCCTCAATTTTTTAACATCTGGGAAAGTTGGTCTTGTGCCTCTTTTGCAGACTTCACATCCTCAAAACTAGATAATACATCGTCCATGTAAAAATCTTTACATACTAATTTCGCTATTGGATACTGCACACCTTCATCTTTAGCTAGCTGTCTTAATGTTTTTATTGCTAAGTAAGGAGCAGAGGCAGTGCCAAAAGTGACAGTTAGTAATTTATATGTTTTTACCTCTTCATTAAGATCAAATCTGTATAATATTCTTTGATAGTTTGTGTCCTTTTCAAAAACTCGTATCTGGCGATACATTTTTACGAGATCTCCTATAAAACAAATTTTATAAGTCTTCCATCTCATTATGATATCTCGTAACTCTCCTTGCAAATTAGGACCTATCAACAACTCATCATTAAGTGATACTCCATTACTACCTCGACATGAAGCATCAAATACTATTCGCACCTTCGAAGTTTGTTTATCTTCCCTCACGACCGCATGATGCGGTAAGTAGACTGCATCTTCCTCATTATTACATGTTACTAACTTCAAATGATTTAAGGTTATATATTCTCAAGTACCTTATCATATTCTCTCTTTAAATTCTCATTTGTATTCAATCTTTTCTCTAAGCACTTTAATCTTCTCATTGCTATGGCTTTCGAATTCTCAGGTAAGATTGGTACATCTCTTGCAAACGGTAAGGCGACAGTATATCTACCTTCTCTCTTGCTACCGTTTTATCATAAATCTCTTCAGCTCTTTCTTCTTCTAAAGTTAATGCATTTTTATTCTTGTTCTCAAATGATTCGCATTCCCAAAACCTTTGTAGCATGCTAATAATTTGACCATTGCGTGGTATTCTTTCAACTGAATCACCACCAGAGATTATCCATCCGAAACTTGTTTGCTGGGCGATGGGTTCTCCTGGGTTTCTCTTAATAACTCCATTCATTAATATGTCTGCATACACATGTACACCAAGCAACAGATCTATCTCACTAGGCTCATGGAATGTTGGATCTGCGAGTTCTATATTTTTAAAGTGAGTCCATTGCTTATAGTTTATTTTTGCAGCTGGTATTATGTCTGTCACGTTCTTCACAACATAAGCAGTGCATTTTACTTTAAACTCTTTATTTACTCTCGATGACAGCTGTAACTCCGCCGCATGATAGAACGGGGTTGACATTTGTCCCACTGCTGATATTTGTCCTTTTTTATCTATGCATTTTATTTGTAGTTTCTTTACAACTGATTCACTTATAAACGATTCTTCAGAGCAGGGATCTATTAGAGCTCGTACAATTTGCTGACCTCTGCCTGTCTCAATATGAACTAATGCAGTTGCTAATAATGACACTCGACCTCGCGTAGATGCATGTGACAAAACATTCTGACTTATTGGTTGTTCGTTTATATTTCTCATTTCTCTCGTGGTACTATTAATCTCTAGTTCCGGTTTCTCTAAATGTAGTAGTATATTATGTTTCCGCTTACAAATGTTACATCTTATTTTAACTCTACAAAATCTTACACTATGACCAGGTCGCAAACAATTAAAACATAATCTCTCATTTTTTGCATACTCTGTTCTCTTCGATGCATCTAGGGTACCAAATTCTTCACAGTTACTTGTGTAATGATTTTGTTTACAGTATGAACATTTAATATTAGGCTCCGAATTTTCTTTAGTATTGTGATTCTTTAAAGTTGTGACAAATGGCCTTGGTTTGATAGTGTCTTTTTCTCTTGCATGTGAAGTTTGCATCATCTCTGTAACTCTAAATCTTCCTTCTAAAAATTTTGTAATTTTTTCTAAACTAGGCAGCTCTTCAACAGCTAAGTTTTGTAACTCTTCTTCCCACAACTTATGTGAACCTTGATCCAACTTATTTATAATGATGTAAATGATCAAAGGATCCCAATTATCAGTTTTAACTTCATTATTTCTCAAACTGTTCAAACAGTCATTTGTTGTGTCTAAGAGATCTTTTATTCCCTTGGCTGTTTCAGAATATAACTTTCTTTGGCCTAGTAATCTATTCAGGATTGAATTTACTATTATTCTTTTATTATTGTATCTGTGGTGTAATGTAGACCACGCCGTTTCATAATTCTTCTCTGTGATTTGAATGTGCTTTAGAAGAAGCACTGGTTCACCACTCACACAGCTTTTAAAATAATGTAATTTTTGTACATTACTTAATGTCTTATTGTTATGAATTACTGATACATATAAATCTTTGAAAGTAACCCATTCATTATAATCTCTTTGAAATTGGGTATATTAATCTTAGGCAATTTCACTTCCTGAGAATTCTTTTCCAATAGAATTTGCTGATCATTTTCACATTTTGACATTTTATACTATCTAGCAACTCCGTCATATCTGACTTACTTAAAAGATACTCGTCTTCACATGTAGGTCTTTGCTCGGATGTAGATTGATTAATAATATCTCGATGTGTTTCACAAAAATCCTGCCAATGTTTATCCAAATTTTGTAATCTTACTTCAATATAACTCTTTGTCAATCTAGGTTTTGGCGATTTTTTGAAATTAGCTACAGCCCTTCGTATAAGTGCAAAATTGTTTTCCTGTAGTACTATAAGTTCTTCCATCATGTAATTGTTATGTATGTATGTAACTTTATTTTAAGAAAAAGTTAAATTTCAAATCGTCCAATATTTGGTGTTTTTACCCTACCATAATTTTTCATGTTTTTTCATAATAATGATTAAGTCTTTCAATCACTCAAATCAATATTAAATTATTATAATTCTTTTGTAAACACAGTTAATAAGTCTTTAGAAACACAAATACGTAAGATAATATTCTTATTTTTACGGTCTTGCTCAATTCCAAATTGAAATGTCAAACACCATCACTATCACAGAATATTTTTCTCCGTACTAAATTTTCATGTTATTACTTATTTAAACTTTCTTTTTTCCATCTGGCTCGTTTAGGACCAAATTGTAGACTACAAACTCACTTTTTTTGAATAAAACCACTACTTTAACCGAAACTATGTATTTTCCAACGAACTGACAACTAACAACAACGTAACTAGAGAAACGACGACATTGAGGAGTTTTCAATGCTTTGTAAATTTAACATAAACTATACCATGGAGTATGGATATACAAAATATCTCATGCAAACATACGTTAAATATATAAACTTTAAAATATTTAAATAAATAGATAAATCAACTCCAACAGTGGTATTGTTTTGATCACATGATGTTGATGGATAGTACATTTTAAATTTTTCAAAAAAATATTTCGAAATCGAAAAAATATGCAAAAGTATGAAAATTTAAAGCCAGCGACGAACAAGTACGACCAGTGACAGAATATTTTAAATTTTTCAAAAAAATATTTTTTGAAATCGAAAAAATATGCAAAAGTATGAAAATTTAAAGCCAGCGACGAACAAGTACGACCAGTGACAGACAGGAGTGACGTCATCGCAACCATAGGTTCGTTTTCGCGCGAAAATTTAAATTGTCAATTTAAAACCGCATTTTTTCCGATGAATCACAATGTTTTTATTTGTTTAATATATCTGTGGTTTATTCTACATGGAATTCTTTAAAATGAAAACAAAAATAAAAATATTGCATCTTCCCTATTGTGCGAAGCGTTGCTGTAGTTGGAACAATCAACGTTAAGCATTATGCCGCATAATGTGCTATAATGCTGTAATTGGAAAGCTACCTAGGTGAGCGCTTTGTTAAACAGAAAGAAAAGACCACTGATCAATGGAAATGCTCGTTCGATTAATAGGGTATTTGACAAGTTTTAGAAAACGATCTCACGTTACTGACTAATGTTAATGGAGCCTGTAAAATTGATATTCATCATTTTGTTGTGTATTTCAGTAAAAATAACCAAATCAAAAACTCCATTTTCAAGTTGCCGCAAAAACGTTTCTCTGGACAATATGGCGTCTAACTAGTGTGTGACGTCACACGACTGTTATTAAAACGTCAAACGATACAATGTGATGTCACTTTAACCGGAAGTTTACTTGCGTGTGACGTCATTTTAGGCTCCGCCAATCCCAAGCGTTTTGGGTCACGTGACAATAGAAAAGAAAAATTATCTTTTTCGTGGGTTATTAGTAAAATAATGAATATTTTTTTTGTAAAAATAGTAAAAACCCCTGCCAATATTCATTCTAAACACAGATGCTAACAATTGGCACTTTATTTTTAATACTGTCAAATACCCTATTCGCGCCAAAAATTTCATACAAAAGACCTCACGCCCACAGTGACGCCAACTGAAGACGTAAATTTTCATAATCACCCTTATTAATTGTGAACCATCTTAATATCTATAATAAATTATGAGTATCAAACCTCTATATGCTCTCCGCTGTCGCATAGCGGTTGTACGGACACCGAGGGGTCAGTATGTGCGGCAATATGAGTCATAGTTAGAGAAAGTTCCTCGAAAGTAGCCCCCTCCACTGTTAAATTGTTTATTTTCTTTTCACGCTCTTCAGCAGTCAGCGAAGTGTTACGGTTTATCGTTTCATACTCCTCTGCAGCCGTCAGCACGTTTTGCAAAAACCTGTACCCAAATAAACAACCATTATAATTTAATTTGGTTCGCCAAAAGAAAAAGTAACATTATATTATAAATTTATTACAAACTGATTATTGATTAAGAATAGCGCTTTTATTTTAAAATCAAAGTTGTATTAAATGATAAACATATCTTTAGGCACTGTACCCTTAGCAGGAAACCATATTGAATTCGATATGTCAAGAAGTTTTTTTATGGAAGATTTTTAATTCGCGTTCTTCCGTTTTGGCGCTGTTCAAATGTCTAAACAAAACTTCTTTATATTTTACGCGTATGGAGATCATATTTAACTATTTCAATTAGTTTTTGCTTCGTGCTAAAGATACTGTAAAATATAAACGTAATTTTACCTATATCTAATCGGATCTACTTCTTCTAGGTGTTCCGTAGTAAGTTCGTCGCCGCACATAATTCTTAAGAACGGCTCAGACAACGGCAAATCTACGAGTCGTCCGTCCTGTAGTACCTGTAAATATGATTTACAAATTACAGTTACTTATTATGATATCCTATAAATACATATACAGCAAGGAATACTTGGATATAGATGTTTTGCATACCTTAGCTAAAAATACTCCTAAGAACCAGAAATATTTGCAAACTTTATCACAGATTGAAGAGTCTTGAGGGAGTGGCGCTGGAAAGAGACCTCTGGTGTGTGTCACATAGTAACCAGGCGGTTTTTCTGAAAAGATAATATTCACTATAAGTTCTTGAAAAGTACATTCAAAGTTATAGACACAAGCGACTCTGACGACAGATGTTGTTTTGTTTGAAAATTATAAAGAAACCTCAGCGTCATTATTCGGGTGGAGTTGAAAATTAGGTTTTCTAAAGTTATCTGATTTGCTGCGCAACTTTCCTAATTTTCCTCTTCCTACAAAGCTGAAAATCATGATATTAAGTTTGCTCAGTCCATTATCTAAGTTTATGATGGTAACTGACCGTCGTGTAGCGCGAGGTAATAGGGCGTCCTGTCGTCAGCGGTATGCGGCGCGTAGGACTGTGGGCCCCGTATGCGGTCTGTAGGGGGGGGGGGGGGGGGTAGCTGTGTGAAGAGATATAATGAGGGCAGTATGACTGACAGTCGGGCGCGCTGTCGTCAGCAGTTTGCAGCGTATCAAATCAGAAATCAATGTATCTTTATTCAAGTTGGATGTAAAGTACAACTCTGCCCTGTGTGCAGTGATATAACGAGGGCAATCAATATAACTGACCGTCAGGCAGCGCGAGGTGGCAGGGCGCGCTGTCGTCGGGCGGGTGCGGCGCGTCGTGCAGCCACATGCAGAGGTCGGAGCGCTGCAGCTTGGCCGCCACGAGCGCGTAGAACTCCAGCGTGGGCCCTCGGTATGTGTCGTGAAGGGGGGTGCCGTGTGCAGTGATATAGCGAGGGCAATATAACTGACCGTCGGGCAGCGTGAGGTGATAGGGCGCGCTGTCGTCGGGCGGGTGCGGCGCGTCGTGCAGCCACATGCAGAGGTCGGCGCGCTGCAGCTCGGCCGCCACGAGCGCGTAGAACTCCAGCGTGGGCCCTAACCCGGTGCCCTCCTCGCCGGCAAACTCCACCTCCAGGACCGACTTACGCCCCGCGTGCACGCGCATCACCTAACGACACACACCCGACGATATTAAAAACCCTTATATTTAACATCACGAAAAAAGGAGACGGTTCAATAATGGCACCTACTCGGATGCCGGCCATTGAAAAATATGTATCATTTGAAAGAGTTTTATTTAATAATATGAAAATGTAATATTATTTATTTAACTCCAAATTGGTTTTAAAAGTGTTTGAAAATTACGTCATATTTTTAGTATGGGCCGCTTTTTTTTTATTTAATTAGCAATTGAATATAATATATTTGATGTTTTGGCAAATAACAGTAGATAAATAAAGTTATCATTTATTAATCAATAATTACGCAATTAAAAATTATTTATCGAAAAAAACGGAGATAAATTGTATTCATTATTTTTTAAACAAACGATTAACAATTAAATGCACTTCATGAAGTGCAATATGACGAATTATGTCATGGCATAAAAATAGGAGTCTGCCGGGGACTCATTCCTTTAATTAAACACTTTTTAATTCGCGTTTTATACCTTATTTACTTTATTCTTGACGTTTCGTACTCTTCGACTTTTCACATTAAATAAAAGAGTGAGAAAAAAGCAGCCCTTGCCGATTCTTTCTTTACAGTTTGTTTACTCACCTGCATAGCAGAACGCAACAAATCGGGTTGTCGCGGTATCCGCACTCGCTCGTGCCTTAGACGGCCCATACGGAACTCTGTCGCCTCCAGCTCTGCACGGCGAGGTGACACAGTGTTGCCAGCTCTAAAAAAAACAAATTTCATTCAAAATCCTTCACTACCGGAACAATATTTTCTACATAATCAGTTTAATGAATAGTTCAGTTTATAATTTTATTTTTATTAAATGTTATAGAGAACGTGTAAAAGTAATATTATTATCATTTAAGTATTGGTAAATGTAACACTAATCGAATTTTACGCTAGCAACATTTACTGCTGTATGCTGCATAATGAGCAAAAGTATTCTGATACGATTATAATATTACAATCTAAATCTTCTCAAATCATAACACAGTTTTATACCTTTGCCTCTCGAGAGCCCTGTCTCTTTGCGCTTGCAGCCACACTATAGTTCGAGAAGTGCCGAAAGCGGTACAAGCGAAGAACATTTGTCGCGTTTCCAACGGGAAGAGGAATGGGCACCAGTCGTTCAATTGTTGGCACCTATTGGCACAAAAATATGAACATTAACACAATACACAATGTTACATTATTATTGTTCGTTATTATGCGTACGCTTACTTAAAAAGAAGTAGTTCTGCACGCAAGGCTCCTGCAGCTGCTGGTGCAGTTTGTTAGTGAGCTTGGTGGACAGGAACGGCTCGGGGGGCAGCGCAGGCGCAGCAGCTCGCGGTCTCCTCAGCACTCGCACGCAAACGGAGTCGCGGGCACTCGTTGGTATAGATATAAACATTACCAGTGCGGCGTGGCGGCGGGGGCGAGCGCCAGCGGCTCCAGCAGCTGCTGAGGCAGTTTGTTGGTGAGCTTGGTGGACAGGAACGGCTCGTGGGCAGCGCGGGTGCGGCTGCTCGCAGTCTCCTCAGTACTCGCACGCAGACGGGGTCGCGGGCACCCGTTGGTATAGATATAAACATTACCAGTGCGGCGTGGCGGCGGCGGCGAGCGCCAGCGGCTCCTGCAGCTGCTGGTGCAGTTTGTTGGTGAGCTTGGTGGACAGGAACGGCTCGGGGGGTAGCGCAGGCGCGGCCGCTCGCAGTCTCCTCAGCACTCGCACACAACACGTCGCCATTGCGCCGTCCGCACCTTCCGCTCCGGCCAGCCCGTTCTCTATAATAAATAAATACAAATATTTCCCACACTCACACCAATTAGCCTAGCCCCAAAGTAAGCACTGTAATGCTTGTGATATGGGATACTAGGGTAACGGATAGAACACATATACTGAAACATCCGGATCGGACGGAGTTTAACTTAACGGATTTGATATTATCTGACAACTGGCTAAGTATTCAATTCGTTCTCCCTATATCTATTGACGGAACTGCCCATGATAGACATTTAAAATAAAGTGTTTTACATGCATTTAAAAACCAAAACTAACCTGGATCGCATGGTTCATCGTCTTCGCTATCGCTGGACGACGCGAAAGTATCCATTCCCTCAATTTCTCTATAGGTTAATCTGAAATAAAAAACTAAACTTCAATAAAGTCTTTATGATAAACAAAACCTAATTCTTGGCACAAGTAGTTGTTATACCAGCACTTCACGTAGGCTACTCGTTTGCTATTTGAAAACTTGAATACAGTCTCTCCTTTTCACTCCCTATAGAGAATGATAGGGACAATAGGGAAGATGCAATATTTTTATTTTTGTTTTCATTTTAAAGAATTCCATGTAGAATAAACCACAGATATATTAAAAAATTAAAACATTGTGATTTATCGGAAAAAGTGCGGTTTTAAATTGACAATTTAAATTTTCGCGCGAAAACGAACCTATGGTTGCGATGACGTCACTCCTGTCTGTCACTGGTCGTAATTGTTCGTTGCTGGCTTTAAATTTTCATACTTTTGCATATTTTTTCGACTTTCGAAATATTTTTTTGAAAAATTTAAAATGGACTACATTATGTGATCATAACAATACCACTAATATTCCGAAAAAAAGCCGTGTTGACTCATGTTTTGTGCCAATCCACTTCAACAAAGTTCCCAAATAAATTGTTTTTGACTGGAACTTCTGACCCAAAACTGAAAAAAAAGTGGTTTCAAGCTGCAAAGAGAAATGACAATTATTCTCCAAAGACTATTATTCGATGCTGAGAAGATCACTTTGACGTAAGTCGGCGAATATACTTGTTATATGCTTAATTAATCTGCTTGTACATAAAATGGCATTAGTGACCTACCTAATACTTACAAAACCTGTCTATAACATATTTTTAATTTTACAGTTGGAGAATGACGTCGAAAATTAGATAAAGTTTAAAATGTGTGGCACAATCTTCACATTGGCAGGACTGAACCAAGCTTTGCGTTTCATTTAAAATAACTGTAACACGATAACCTTCTTTACGTACTTTATGCTCCGGAGAACCCGACCTTTTACTGTACATAATTTTCCATCTCTTTTAATTTGGACATAGCCGATTGCATTATCGCCGTAAGATTTGTAGAAGCCGCTGAATAAACTACGAAGTTTAACAACTACGATTTTTACATACCGTAGTAATTTAGTCCCTTTCATTTCTACACTTAAAAACTCTGCACTTTGGACAAAAAAAGTTATAACCATGTCAACGCTAACTCTTGGTAAATTCCTGGAGTCTGCTTTGATAAACGCAACTCCCATTTTTATTAAATGTAAAAAAACGCAATAAATATTCCCATAAAATAATATTTACTTTAACAACCATAACCTCAAAGAAGTTGTCATAACAGGAGTGACGTCACTAAACGCTGATTGGTGTTTTAAAATACGTTCCGTTTCAAGTATTTTTAATTCGTAATAATTGTTAAAAAACAACATTATGTAAAATAAAAACGTTGCAGTGGCATTTCCTTTATATTTTTTTAACATTTTAATCATAAAATTTTCATAAATATTATATATGCATCTTCCCTATTTGCTGGCTAAATGACAAATAGCAAACAGGAATAGCCATGTAGACCAGGCCATGACAGAATACCATCGCTGTTGTGACACGTTTGGCGACGTGTTGCGGCGGCATTATGCTAAGGAAAAATCTTGATTGACTATTCAGGATTTAATTTACTTTTTATTTTCTTTTTATTATGTATAATTTTAATATTTTTTTTAAGTTTGTTTTGTAATTTGGTCAATAAAATGTTTCTCTCTCTCTCTCTCCTCCCAAGTGAAGAAATAGCATCAATATTAGTTTGTGACAAAATCTCAATAATGTCTTAAACTTCGAATGAACCTATTTTTCCGGAGGTAAGGCTAGATGCGGTAAAACTCTTAAAGAACTCACGTGTCGTATCACGGTGCGTATCATGGGTGGGAAGTTTAGCATTTTGTGCTAGCACCCCACGATAAACTCTCCAAGGGCAAAGTCTTATCTGCGTGTTCTCAAGTTGCGAATGAATCTATTTTTCTAGAGGTAAGGCACAAAACAAACACAAAAGTACTCACGTATATGTGGTATCACGGTGTGTATCGTGGGCGGGTAGTTTAGCATTTAGTGCTAACACTGCACGGTACAGAGTCCACGATGAACGCTCCAATGGCAAAGACGTTCCGCCCGCGCTTAGCACTAATCGCAGAGCAGGCAACCGCGACCCGCTGTCATTACCGCTGCTGTTGCCCACCTCTGCTACTTCTGTCGCCTCCTCTGCTTCGGAATCTTCGTTCACTGGTATATCGAGATCTGAAACAGACTCCATAGATATAGTTTCGAATTATTTTTGTACTAGCGAGTGGCCGTAATATTGTCTGCGTATATTATATTGAAGTAGACCTTACATCGGGCACAAATGAACCCCTTGAATCACTAACAGTCTAGTTAAGGTTTGCCCTGCCTGGGCGTGGGTTGACCACCGGTATGAGCGCGCAGAACTGCCGATTCAGCACAAAGTCGCCAATTACCTTACATAGGGTACAAATGAACCCCTTGACTCACTATCAGGTTAAGGTTTGTCCTGCCCGAGCGCGGGTCGAACGCCCGTATGAGCACGGAGAACTGCCTCTTGAGCACGAAGTGGACATTTACCTTACATAGGGTATGTCGTGGTACACGACTTTTCTATGGCGACGTGACGTCACAGACCGGCGATCACGCAAATAATATGTCAACAATAGGTACATAACTTATGAAATAATAGGTAGCACAATTTAACAACCATTAATTACGATCGAACATACATCCTTGATTATGTTTGGTGTACTAATTCATTCCTGGAATCATTGCTGTGTCTGAAAACACGATCATAAACAATATTTCATTGTAAAAAGTGTTTATTGTAATATCTTTATAAATACCGAACCAAATTACGATTTAATGGTATCATTGCATTCAGAAAATTATTCTCATTCCATGTCACGGCTTGTTTTCAGTAAATATGAAAACCACATTTGTAATAAAAAAAACAAAACCAAACGTCGTCGTATGTGCCTGCGCGCAAAGGAAACGATATCGATGCAATTGGCATTCGATAAGCAATTGCACCGTGATTTCCCATTGATTATTAAACATAAAATTATCAATTATGGATGTTTTTGATTAACAAACAAAGTACTCTTTTTTGGTAAATAAATTAAAATTTATAACGGTACATTTGTAAAAGTTTGATTTCGGATTTGAAGTATCCATCGATAAATGATCCTTTGCCGTGGCACTACTGACCTACTTAAAGCGTCGGACAGTCGCCCAGAGACATTCCTACGAGGAGGCTGTGTCGCTTGTCGCCAAACCAATCTAGTTCTCACTAAGGTTCGCGTGGCACCATGTTTGGTCGGCCGATTACCGAACCAGGGGGATGAAAATGGCACTCCGCCATGCCCCTTAGTTCTATAGTGTTTTTTTATGGCCTTCTGCCCTTACAAGATATCATGTTCGTATATATAAAACATAATCTCGCGGCCGCTGCGTGCGTGGTGTGACACGTGATCACCCACGCCCTCCGACTCTTCGTGTCTTCGGCTTCACCAGTGTGCTCAAATGCCCGTGAGCTCCTTTCACCTGCGTGCTTCCTGCTGAGGCCTGCGGCGTCAGCCCGTAGACTCCTATCATCAGGGTGCAGCATGCTGTGACGTCAAGGGTTGACGTCCCGAGGCATCACCGCCATCGTCGCTTCGTTCAACGAGGGAACTTGGTACCATCAGTGATGTGTGTCAAACCGTGAGCTCACGTATTTTCCTTTTTTTGTCGCGAGTGCGCGCGTGTCGTTCCTCGACGCCACGTGTCCCATCTGGACTTCAATGACTTTTTGGGTCGATAGATTATTACATAGCATCGTTGGTATTTTGTTATAAGAACCATTGTTTCGCTGCGGGCCGCCGCCATGTAATTCGCGAGATTATACAATATAAATTGCATGTACCAAAAACCGCCATCTTTGATTTGTTCTCCCAAGCTACGGCCTTTGTATTTCAATAGTTCATTGCTGTAACCGAGAGTTTATCCCGGTACCTTATCAGCTGAATATTAGCTGAAATAGCACCTGCTCGTATGTAAGGAGATCCCGCACCTCAAACAGTAAATTTAAAATAATTCCATTTTTCTTTTTTTTTTCTTTTACATACAACAGGTACAAATGAACCCTTGACTCACCAACTGTCTGGTTAAGGTTGGTCCTGCCCGGGCGCGGGTCGAACGCCGGTATGAGTGCGGAGAACTGCCGCTTGAGCACGAAGTCGTCGTCCCAGGGCCGACGCGAACGGACGCCCTGCCCGCTGCCACTACGGATCGCTTCCAATGCTTCCTCCTCCATAAGGGAGAGCAAGTTTCGGGACACCTGTGAACAAAATTATTGCTACAATTATAGCATGGCTAAAAAGAGTATTCTGCGAAAGGCAGCATGGCTGTGATACTGGCATTGCTGATGTCCATGGGTGACGGTGACCACTTAACATCAGGTGGCCCATCTGCTCGTCTGCCTCTGAAGGCAATAAATAAAATATATAGATGAAATTAGCAAAGGTAATACAGTAGGCTACAAAAGCGGCGTTTTGAATTAATCTATTTATATAAAAATGAATCGTCGAAAAATATGTATGCGCATCACTTCCAAACGGCTGAACCAAATCGGATAATTCTTTTTTTGTGTTTGGTATTGTCAGGACAAGGTTTGTAGAAAAAAAAACCTATAAAAAGACAACAGAATTACTTTTAAAATCACTGTTAATGAAAAGTTACTGGCTATCAAAAAAAAAAAGCATACAAAATTTCTTTTTAGGCAGACTGACAATATTGATGGTATGATGTCAAAATACAACCACCGCTTCTTTTGCAACAGCAAAACGGGTATTACGTATATTTTGATTTATGTTTAGAGATTTTTTCGTATTTTTTTATAGTTATTGATAAAAAAAAATGGGTGCGTGTACTTATGTAGGCGCGTGAAAAGTTATCCTTCTTTGGCATCGTTTAAAATTAGTTTTTAATTGCATGCAAATAATTAATTACAATAAATTAATAAAAAGTCTGGAAAAGGACACAGTCAATAAAGTTTAGTTTTAATTTGAAAAAATAAATAAATAATCAAAATATTCAATTAAAATCGCTACTGAATATAATTTATTAGAACATATGTGATTTGCATTTGTATGAAACTCAAACACGTATTCCGAATATACAAACTAGAAACATGTGGATAAATATTATAAATATGAATACCTATAACTGTTACTTTATTACAAAAAATAAAGATGTGGTTTTTGGTTCTACTACACCAATGGTCAAGAGATGGCGCTGTAGTCTCCTGAATCGCGCTTTGGTTCCGTTGTTCCAGATTAATAAATACTTTTGATAGGCCTTCACAATGCAGTCGTTAGCACCCACTAAATAGAGATTCTATTTCAATTTTGTTGGTAGATTTTCTTAATGTGCGGTAAACACAAAAGTAACGCATAAGTTGGTCGCTAAAGCGCGCGCATCTTAAAATTTCACTCTCATCATTTTTTCATAACGTGCCTAAAGAAGTATAACTTCAAAAATGTCACTAGTGTCAAGAATTAATTTGGTTCAGTCTTTCGAAAATTTATATGAAATAGATTTGTTACTAACATAAGAACATTGACATTAAGTATATTATTATTGTCCTTGGAACCCTAAAATGTAAGTAGTAGATAGATAAAAACATAATAGTTAGAGTCTGGCACACGAAACATGAGCCAGCCAATTTTTAAACATTCTTCATATGGTCACACCAAAGTAGATGTCAATGTCAGTGTACATGAATTGTCATTACGCTAAAACGTGTTTGCTTTTTTTGCTTCGAAATTATTTTAAACCATTAATATGAAGACTCCTATTAAGAGTGAGGCTAGAAAGCTTATATTTAATATGATTAATAAATTTGATGTGAGAAATAACGACAGTGAAAAGATTTTTATTGAGAAAGAACAATGATTGTTATCAATCTTGGCGGCCATTGGTAAGTTCGTCTTGTATGACTTGATTGTTTGCTCAATCCAATTCGATGTAGTTGGATGTAATATTGTTTTTTTATTCTACATCTTGTTTTCTATGAAAGTATGCAATGTTAATATATTCGCATTTCTTTCAGACACCGAAAATATAGATGTCAACAAAATTAAAGAGTCTGTCAAAAAACTTAAAGATATAAGTCAGAACGGATTACAGCAACAAAGTGCATGAACGAAATATCAGCAATGACAGGTAGATAGATACCTTAACAATTTATTAGAGAAGAAGAAATTTTCTTCCTAGATTTATGTAACTACCAACCTACATACACACATATATTGAAAGAAAGAAAAAAAGAAGTCTTTATTTCGTACCAAAACAATTAATTACTAATTGATTACTTTATAATGAACATCTGTGTTTTGATAATAAGATTTCTTGTTACTTTGTATCTGATCTTAACACCAACCAAAATCATGCAACGTCCACCCACTGTTTCTTGTGTATTATCTAAATATTTTGAATGTGTGATTGGTTAGTTTCAATACCTAAATATGTAAATATAACTCATTATTATATTTAATATTGTGTTTTTTTTTGTCAGATGTAAGTCTTGCAACAATAAAACGTATTAAAAAAGAAGGCCAATCGAACAACAAAGACCCCATGCAAGTACTGTGTCAAATCTAGACAACTTTGATATTATGTGCAATTAGAAATAAAACTAGCAAACCAGTGAACCAAATGTTCACCAAAACCTGATTTAAAAAAAAAATGTATTTAATTAATTGAGAACTTCGGAGATTTTGTGTGGTTTCGTTTGAAATTCGTGATTTCTCGAAAACCGGAAGTGCTACGTTACTCAAATCCGGTTTGTAGTCTTATCAGACTATTCTTAACTTATAACTTGAATATTCTCTTTATCTATCTCTTACGGTTTGGCCGCTGAAACAGCACCACAGACGGACTTGTCTAATAGATAAGAGATAAATGAATTTTATACTGTAAAAAAACAAGTACTGACCTCCGTGGCCGAGTGGTTTGTACGCCGGGTTTCATGGCGTCGCCAACTCGAGAGGTTCGAATCCCGGTGGGGGCAGATATTTGTGTGATGAACAAGAGCATTTGTACTCCAGTCATGGATGTTTAAATATATATTTCTATATAATTATACTGATATATGTAAAGTATGTGTATTCTATCCGTTACCCTAGTATCCCATAACACAAGCCTTATAGTGCTTACTTTGGGGCTAGGCTAATTGGTGTGAGTGTTGGAAATATTTATTTATTTATTATTTATTTACCTACTATTAGGAACTTGCTTTCAGAGTTAAGAGATGCAATTGGATTTACTGGAAGTAGGGAGACTTTTAGAATTTTGCATGAAAATGGCTTTGAGGTCAAAAAGAATTCCAATGAACGATCACTACTCATAGAAAGATATGAAATTTTAGCTTGGCGTAATAGATATTTAAGAAAAATGTGCCAAGCTAGGCAAGAAAATAAACATATTGTCTACCTCGATGAAACCTATATACATCAGAACTACAAACCTAAAAAGTCTTGGCAAGGTCCGTCAACAACTGGTCTTGTTGCTAAAATATCAACTGGGAAGAGACATATTTTTGTCCATGCTGGCTCAAGGGTTTGTGCCTAATGCTCTTTTGAGCTATAGTACGAAGTCCGTGATGGCAGATTACCATCACGACATGAATGCCGTAAAGGACAATGGGCAAAACACACCCAGCTCCGCCAACAATGTAATTAGTATGAATCGATAGATCTATGAAAAACTAGCCTTTTTTACTATGACACCGTAAAAAAATATCCTGGGAGTCAAAAGATATGACACCTTAAAAAATATCCTGGTATTCAAAAGATTGACGACGCTTTGGACATTGGAACACGATAATTGATTTTGTCAATTAGTATGGATGAACTGGAATCATGTTTTAGGTGATTTGTGGTCGCTCCGTTTTACAAAGAAGACAATTTATTATAACGAACAGAATGTTTGAAAAAACGCCAACCCATGCCAGGATTTTTGGATTTACTCTAGTGCGGCAGAATAACATAAGAGGCCACCCTTGAACCTTGTGTAGCACTCCCATAATACGTGAGCCCCCTATGTAGTATCGAACTAACTAACTGAATTAATTCCTTTTTTTTTTCATTAATGTTCGTTCGTTATAGTACTTGTAACTATTTAACTTAAAATAACTTAAGACTCCCGGGATGGAATTTGATGCGCTTTGGCACAGAAGATCATGACTAAAATACCTTTCAAACAAATGTAGTTTAAGCCGTGGCGGACGTGGGTGCAGCATCCATGCATTTTTGCCCAATGTCCTTTAAAAAAATGGTTGTGTGAAAAATTAATTCCCAATTTGGAAAAACCCAGTATTATTATCATGGATAATGCAAGTTACCACACATGTCAAATAAATAAAGCGCCTACCACACAAACCAGAAAAACTGACATCCAAGACTGGCTTAGATCTCAAGGTGTGTCGTTTGAAGACTTTCTAACGAAAGATGAGCTACTTTGCTTAGTAAAAAAGAATAAACCGGATCCAATATACGAAGTAGATGAAATTTTAAAACATCACGGACATGAAGCGTTGAGATTACCGCCTTATCATTGTGACCTAAACGCAATATAAATGATATGGAGTTGAGCGAAGAGAAGGGTTGCAAGTAAAAATATAGGTGTCACACCTGGTAATATGGAAAAATCATAAAGGATGCGTTTGAAAGTGTCACAGTTGAAGAATGGAAAAATTGCATAGAACACGTCGTAAAAATTGAAAATAATTATATTGAAAAAGATAACATTCTTGAAACAGAACTGGAAAGTTTTATTATAAACTTAAGAGAAAATGATAGTGACAGTGACGAATCTCTTGAAATGGATTTTCTGGACTCTGATTTTGATTATGAATCACAATAAATAATGTTATAATTGGAACAATGTTTAATTATTTCTCCTTAAAATTTAATAACACACATCCTCGCTCAATTACATACGCCTCTTTCCCATGAGGGTAAGCAGAGACTTTGTTTTTGTTCGTTTCATTCACAACCATCAATCACCAGGTTTTGTAATTAACACATTCACACAATACCTATATCTGTCTCATAATTAGGGTTTCATTCATCCTCTCTAAACTTGTCCTATTTAGTAAACCATCTTGGTACTCCTTTTTATTGAATAGTAGCATATACAATCAACTGATAACTAGATGTAAAAAGTTTCAGTGTGTAATAACGATTTATTGTTAAAGATTGTTGGCTTTGTTTTAATCTTTTATATTTCTATGAGTGATTTCGTTAAAAAAATGTGCGAAGATTGTTTACCAAACAAGTTAGGATGAACAGACTTTATATAGGTGACCAAACCACCGGAGCATACCTTTCTCAATACATGTCACTATGCCATGTTTCAGACCACCTTTCACGAATTATAGCATATTCCTCACTCTATCACACAATTTCACTCCACATATCATAAGCAGAGAACGCATCGACAGCATTTATCCTGATTTTATTCTTCTGCCATACCCAAGATTCACTTTCATACACGATTGTCGGCACCAACACTCCACAATGAATAGCCAATCGCGCCTACTTACTGCAGTCCTGTTCATCACTCGCCCATAGAATCACAGACTACCTAAATACAAAATATAAGAATATTTCAAGTATCAAAATGTATTTTACCTTCTATACGCAGTGATACCACAGCTAAATTTTTTGAATTTGCCGCCATTTTCCAGGCTCATGTTTCGCGTGCCAGACTCTATTAAGCTTTAGCGAACTTTTGTTTTATAGAACTTTTTAACCGACTTCAAAAAAGGAGGAGGTTCTGTGTTACTGGGGTACAATTCCATATCAAAACATTTATTTGTTCAAATATTGTGTACAATTACAGTGTTTCAGGAGCGCAATGATTTAACTGCCTAGCTAGATTTCCGCGAGTCATTCCAAGATTGACTACTGCTAATGAAATGAAGTCTTGCCTATATTAATCGAATTGTAACGCCATGTAGGTAATGCAGTTTCAGCTGGCAGTAAATAAGAGTTACAGTGCTGAACGATAAATCTACATAAGATTTCTCCAAATAATTGCTAACTATAGCTAAAGCAGTGTTTCTTTCGAACAGATAGCTTTATTTCCTCCAAATTATTGTAAGCGCTACGAAGTCCGCCGGGTCAGCTAGTTTCTTATAATAATCAAGCCCATACAAACCAGCAAATAGCAGCGTGCTCCAGAAAAGCACTTTAAATCTTAAAAGTTAATTATACATAATATCTAATGCTCTACTCATCTAGCTGAGTAGCTAAATCACGCCTAGTCTCAAAACAATACCAGAAATTTTGCGTGATATACACATTTATTAGATAAAAAAATATTACATTGAGCAAAAACTTATTACCTATGCAGGTTTGAACATGATTTATAACCATCTTATTGTGTTTTTGAAGTTATACTTCTTTAGGCGCGTTATGAAAAAATGATGAGAGTGAAATTTTAAGATGCGCGCGCATCACTGTAACACAAAATTTTAACATAATGAAGTTGGTCGCTTTAGCGACCAACTTCATGCGTTATTTTTGTGTTTACCGCACATTAAGAAAATCTACCAACAAAATAGAAATAGAATCTCTATTTAGTGGGTGCTGACGACTGCATTGTGAAGGCCTATCAAAAGTATTTATTAATCTGGAACAACGGAACCAAAGCGCGATTCAGGAGACTACAGCGCCATCTCTTGACCATTGGTGTAGTAGAACCAAAAAACCACATCTTTATTTTTTGTAATAAAGTAACAAAAAGTATTTATTAATCTGGAACAACGGAACCAAAGCGCGATTCAGGAGACTACAGCGCCATCTCTAGACCATTGGTGTAGTAGAACCAAGAACCACATCTTTATTTTTTGTAATAAAGTAACAGTTATATATTCATATTTATAATATTTATCCACATGTTTCTAGTTTGTATATTCGGAATACGTGTTTGAGTTTCATACAAGTGCAAATCACATATGTTCTAATAAATTATATTCAGTAGCGATTTTAATTGAATATTTTGATTATTTATTTATTTTTTCAAATTAAAACTGAACTTTATTGACTTCGTCCTTTTCCAGACTTTTTATTAATTTATTGTAATTAATTATTTGCATGCAATTAAAAACTAATTTTAAACGATGCCAAAGAAGGATAACTTCTCACGCGCCTACATAAGTACACGCAGCCATTTTTAAAATTATTGCTCAACCAATAATATTAACATAAACATATATTTTTGCTACAGACCATTGAAACTTATTAAAACACCCTTGTAAGTGGTTCGATAGATGTGTCCGAATAAAAGTGTATAACCAAAACTTTCTCTGTACTCTCACATGTACTTAAAAATAGCAATAACATACTACTGTACTTACAACTTCTTGATATGTACGTTCGTTTTCCTTATCACTATCGAGAGCATCATCTCCATCGTCGTCATCTTCTAATTCGGTAAGTAGTGCCGGAGCTCGGCACGATTCGAGGAAGTCCTCTAATGACACCTATGAATAATGAGATACAAACATTATGCAAACAATACCAATCTAGTATTATTTTCTTTAGAGTTAACCATCGAGCAGTTACATGCTTAAAAAAATTATAACAATTGACATGTTTCTCTAAACCTAAACTTAAATTTGACAATAGTGTATCCTTGTCATTCTTTATACAGAATGAAAAGGAGAGACTGATGTTAAATTTAGTTTTAAGTTTAGAGAATCATGCCAGAATCGACACCAATACTAATCCCAAATAAATATAAAATCAAAACCACCTTATTCCAAAACGCAGAACAAAGGAGATTGGTCAAATTGGCCTAAATGCAAATAAAATATTGACATATACAGTAATTCTTGGCGTAATTTATACTTTATTTTACAGTCATTAGATTTTAACGGCCACCTTTAAATAATATATTAATTTTAAAAAGGACTTCTATTTTTACCGGTTTGGAAAACATACGAATCATTTTTATTGGCTATGGGTGTAGTAACATTCACAAAGACTGATCGAGGTTGTTTATATAACATCAAAACAAATCTATTTTGTAAAGATTGATAAAATATTTCGATGATATTTTAATTCAAAATGTAGATGATATGTAATATTAAACGCAACATAAAAGTACTTAAGTTGTTTTATTTCATTAATTTACCTTATCAGAATATTTAAGCTATGTCAGGAATATACATATTTCACACATTGATCAGAACTATCATGAACCTACGCAATATATTATTACATCAGAATTACCTTTTACCATTATAAACCTAATTATTACTAAGAAAATATCCTATTGGTTTTTATAAAATTATGATAACAGTTCCATGTTTCTCATAACATAGGTAAGCAGGTACCAGTTCCTTGACATGCATTTTGTTAGTGTAATTAGTGTTAGACACTTGTCAAATGAAACAAGATTGCTTCTGAAAGTCGCAATGGCATAATCATGATTTTAAAACTTACTCTTGTGCATTAATTTTAAAAACAGGCCATTATCTGTTATTTTACATGCTCTATATACCTGAATCTAATACATAATATCGGTACTTGGCTTGATTGCCCTATTTTCCTATATAAGTTATTTGGTTTTTATTATTCTAATACCTATGTGCCTATTTGCAAACATAACCTCAAAATCATTCAGTGTATATGGTTTATAGAAGTTCTCAGGAGTGGCCGTCGATAATATTCGTTTCTACGGTAATTTATATATAATTTCGAATCTAGGAAACAATTTTTCATGGTTATTGGTTTTTAGGCCAAACATGTATGGAAGCTGAGCAATCTCCTTTAGTATTGCTTTAAATCCAATGTTGTCTCTGTCTTCTTCTTAGCAAAAAAAGTGACAGCATCAGTTTTTGTCTACGTTTAACTTTAGTCCACATTTTATAATAAGGTGGAAATTGTACAAATAACATACTTGTTCACTTTCGCTGGAAGTAGACGTAAGAGACAGTGTCAGCGCATTTTGAGCATTCGGTGCAAGGGAAGGGTAGCTCTGTGCTGCAGATAATAATCCCCCAGGAAAATTACTTGAGAGCGCAAGACGTACCAGGCTGTAATAAAACATTTGTGTTAAATGATTTTTATTAGCATTGGGGGCATTAACAGGATAATATTCTTCAACAAGTGACTACTTACCTTGGAAATAAGCTATTCGAATGGTTTGCACGCGTCGTCCGTTGTGGATTCGTACCGCGACCAGCGCTAGAACCTCGCCCAACTCCCAAAGACTCTAGAAGTCGCGCTGCGCCCTGATAAATAAATACATTATATCACATTAGTATAAAAAAGCACTTATTATAAAGTGTCTGATTATATTACAGACAAAAATGCTTGGGTTTGAACTGTTCCAATCATTCCAACAGGTTTTTTATATACAATAAATCATAATTGTATTGACGTTGTAACAATATAATGATTTGTAAATGTTGCTACATAATACTTTTAATGTTGTGGGTTTTTTTTCGCTGGTTTTTCTCTGCAGAAAAAAAATATGTCCAATAACGAGTGGTCAGGAATCCAATCTGAGTAAAGATATATTGATTTCTGACATTGAAACTAGCATGTGAATGGTTGCATGTGTGGCAAATGTGAGGACCAATTACAATTAGCTGGATTCATTGTCACTGTTGTGAGTCCTATTTTGTATAAATGATTACTATGAAAAAGAGTTCCCAGAGATCCGACACGCTAATACTTTTACCTACGTGGTCAATCGGCTTCCGTTATAATTATTGGCACAGTACAATAGTCGGTCGTAGAGAGACGATAGCGCTCAGCATAATAGAGTATCGGATTCAGTGTGAACGAAATGTTAATGGTGGGTACGCGGAAAACTGCGTATAGTTCGATTACGGCTACGTTTGGTATCTTTCTTACCATATTAATTAAAAAGTATCGCTAGTTGTGATATGAGCACATCACCGTAAATATATTCTATAACATATTAAACGAGACGATTGGGGGATGAGTTGCTCGCGTCCGTAGGACTTACCACCTTTTCTTAGGCCCATCCTACACGTGTCCCCCGGGTGGTGCTAAACGGGCAACAACGCCGAGTCACAGGCGGCGGTCAAATAACCTGTTTATGGCTACCACAAGCCAAGAGGAACTAAATCAAATCCCCTCTGAACATCGTGGCGACAGTGCCTTGGGAAAGCACAGTTAGTATTTCCCCCCCCCCCCCCCCCCTTTCTCGTAATGAATAAGGAATGCGTTTTGTCATGCGACCCGGCTAACCCCCGGCGCTCTCTGGTACCCGGGCCAAAGAGTGTGAAATTTGCTACCGAAGACTGCACAGAAGTAGGTGACCAGACTTCTGTGTCGGTAAATGTTACTGGAAATAGAAGAATGATTCAACAGGCCTTCCATCCTGGCCTGTTTATTAGCAGGTCTAGAAGCAACTCTACAGGAAACCTGCCAAGAGGTGATCTACCACCAACCTCACCACCTACAACTTTGAATATAGACTCGGATCTTGAAATTGACGAGCATCCGCCCACAACCCATAAACCTCCGGAATGACAAAGAATACCAGTAGTTAGAAACCCTAAAAGAAAAAAGATAACCCAAACTCCATCTCCCGAAGAAGTAAGGATTTCAAATAGATTTGGTGTCTTACCCATAGACATTAAAGACAAGGAAGAACAAATCAAAGAAAGAAAACCAAGCAAGCCTCCTCCAATTATCCTGTATGGTGTAGAAAATGTTGGCAAACTCACAGAATTACTAGAAAGTGTTGCTGAAAGGGATCAATTCACCTACAAAATAGTAAACGGAAACGAAATGAGAGTTAGCTGCACTCAGGTGGAAGTATATAAAAATCTTATTTCACTAATCCGTGAAAAGGGGCTTATAGGACATACCTTTACCAGAAAAGACCAGAGGAACTACAGAATAGTGATTCGAAATCTCCACCATTCAACTCCCACAAATGCAATAGTAGAAGCAATTGAAAGTACAGGGAACTCGGTAGCGGGAGAGATCATTAATGCTTGATATGGCCCGGAAAAAAAACCCACGTCAACATTCTTTGTTAATCTCTTACCAGGACCTAATAACAAGGCCGTCAAAGAATTAAAATATGTTTACCACCAGGCAGTTGTCATAGAAGATCCGAAAAAGAAAAAAACGATTGTCCAATGCCAAAGATGTCAGCAGTATGGTCATTCGAAAAACAATTGCATGAGGCCATACCGCTGTGTTATATGCGCTCAACAACATAAAACGTCAGACTGCACCAAGAAAGACAGAAACACTCCGGCTAAATGCGCACTGTGTTTCGGCGCAAATCCAGCTAATTATAAAGGTTGTGAGGTATACCGTGAAATCCTCTCAAGAAAAGTGGCACCACCTCTACGAAAGCCCAAAATTGCACCGAACTCTATCCCTGAACATAATGGAGATTCAGAATCCCGACCTACAACATACGCTAAGGTTCTACATACCCACAATGAGATCTGCAGCAGAAACGAAAAATCAAACAAAGTGGGAGACAAAGAAAGATCACAACAATAAATCTCAAAGCTCAGAGGCTCAGATGACCACAATAGAAAAAATACTCATAAAACAATCCGAAAAGTTCGAAATAATCCTACAACAAATGGGCACACTCATGCAGCTCATAACACACACACACACTGATAATCAAACTGTCCTAATAGCATCTTTGCGTATAGCAACATGGAACGTAAATGGCTTATCACCGAACAAAAACGAAGTCGACTTACTAATTAGACAGCAAAACCTTGATATCATCCTCATCTCGGAATCTCATTGTACTAATGCATCTAAAGTTAATTTCCGTGGATACCGTACGTACAAGACCAATCACCCGGATGGAACAGGGCACGCAGGCACAGCAGTCATAATACGGGAAACCATTAAACATCACCCACTACCAGAATTTAAGAAGAACCATATACAGGCTACCACAGTCGCGATTGAAGACCATTGTGGATACTTCAATGTCGTTGCCGTCTACTGTCCGCCAAAACATAAAATAACAGAAGATATGTTTTCCGAATTCTTCAGTTCCCTTGGTGGTCGCTTTGTGGCTGGAGACTGGAACTCGAAACATACTTCCTGGGGTTCCAGACTTATTACAACAAGAGGTAGACAACTACTATCCAGCGTTACGGTAAACAACGTACGTACCATATCTACGTTCGAACCAACCTACTGGCCCACAGACTTAAAAAAGATTCCAGACCTCCTGGATTTTTTTATCATTAAGGGATTGTCTCACCACTATTTCAAACCGGAATCTTGTCTAGACACCTCATCGGATCACACTCCTGTATTGCTAACAGCTAGCACCATGGTTATTGAAATCGAAAGACGACGTGTGGTCGACAATTAAAGCCTTAAATGATCGGAAGGCTCCTGGTTTCGATCTTATTACAAAGGAAATATTAACAAATGACAATGACAGATTTTGACCCACCATATACAATAATATTAGATTTATGAAAAAATATATACGACTTTTTTTCTCGTACCGATTTAATTATTACTTTGTAAAAGCGGCGGATACGAAATAAATATTAAAATAATTTGTATCTACTGTTTCCGTTAGGAGAAGAACGAAAACATGGCATAAGCGTTTTGTTTCACGACAAACAATAAAATGCCAATCTAGTTTTCGAAAAATATCGTTCTCTTTTTTAATAATATGGATAAAATAAGCATTTCGGTTATAAATATAAATAATGTATGTTTATAAAAAAGTTTAACGATTCTAGTACCTTGTATTTTTTATGCGCATACACATTATTATGTAGTAGTACCTATGTGAAACTAAAGGTTATTTTGGATTGATATCCTTTTGATTGACATTTCCGTCAAACAAAAGAATTTGGACGACATTGTCGTTTGTGATTTGGAAGCATGTTGAGATGCATAAATTGTTATTTATGTGTCGATAGAATACAAAGGCATGTCGTTTATACAATATCAGCTACAATACGGACTTTCTAGGTCAAAAAAAAATAAAATATATTTTTTTTTCGGTCTAATAGAACAATTTTTAAAACATATTTCCAAAAAGTGTCAAGGAGCCTATTGCGTTGGTAATGGACAACATCTTTTACAAGGACGTGACATGGTATAGCATGGTAATGAAAATAGCCCTTTTACCTGTTGCGTGAGGTCAGGCTCGCTAGCACTCATGGTTCCGGAGCCGGTACCAGACTGGCCGTCCTTTTTGTGTTCGCCATATTGACCATCGCCATTCTCGTTGTCTTCGCACTGCAAATAATCATTAGCTTTATAATAGCAACGAGAAGCAGATAATTCTTAAATACACATATCTTACACATAAGCCCGCTTTAATTAAGGATTCCTTCATCCAAAAGGGATACATGGTTTTATGCGAGTATACAGACCAGTTAAAGAAAGACTCAATGGTATCAAATCTGGCATGATTCTCTAAACATAAACTTAAATTTGACAACAGTGTATCTTTGTCATACAGTATAGAGAATGAAAAGGAGAGATTGATGTTAAATTTAGTTTTAAGTGTAGAGAATCATGCAAGATTCGTCAACAATGTCAAATCGTAGTACCTACCAAATTAACGATTTAAAGGAGATTGCTCAAATTGGCCCAAATGCACAAAAAATATTAACATACACGGTAATTCCTGGCGTAATTTATAATTTAATTTACAGTCATTAGATTTCAACGGACACCTTTGTATAATATATTTACTTTAAAAAGGACTTTTAATTTTACCGGTTTGGAAAACACACGAATCATTTTTAATGGCTATGGGTGTAGAGAATTTAAAATATTAATTAATAATAAAAATTCAAATAATGGATCAACATTTATTTTTATTTCAATATTTTCATTTATTCTTTTCAATAATTTCTTAGGATTATTCCCATTCAGCCAAAGACTGATCGAAGTTGTTTATATAACATCAAAACAAATCTATTTTGTAAAGATCGATAAAATAAATCATTTTTTATTACACTGTGGTATTCATATCCACAACTATATTATCATTTTCACTAGATGCAAATGTGCTCAGACAATTATTATAGATGGTAGGCGACATCATAAAGTCTATTGCCATACATTTTTCGCCAAACACCTCCATGTACACATTATAATCTGTATATATGTTTAGACTTTAAGGTATCTATCTATCTATGGGCCTACGTTCCCTGACTATAAATTAATAAATAAATAAAATTATAAGGTGTGATACACTAAAAATCTAAACTATGGTTATCTTAAAAACAACAAAAATAATGAAACTACTGAATATATGGCTATAGAACCTAAATCTCTTAGCTTTCTTTGGTTAACGAGAGTTTAAAAATTCTCTCTAATCTGTGGCTCATTCACAATCATCACACAGTTTCTGTCACAGAGTACCTTATTATAACCGGAAATGATACCTGATTTTAAAAGTTACTCTTATGCATTAACTTTAAAAACAGGCAACTATCTGTTAATCTACATGCTCTATATACCTGAATCTAATCCATAATTTCGGTACTTGGCTTGATTTCCCTAGTTTACTATATAACTTGTTTTTTATTATTTTAATATGTTCAGTGTATATGGTTTATAGAAGTTCTCAGGAGTGTCCGTGAATAATATTCGTTTCTACAGTAATTTATTTATTTTGATTATTGGTCTTTAGGCCAAACATGTATGGAAGCTGAGCAATCTCCTTTATTTAATGAACTAACAAGACTAGTAAATAATTACGTCAACCCAAGTCAGGCCCAACCAATATTAGTTAGTGGTTTAAAATTATGTCAAGCTAAAATGTATGTACCGGAGTCGAGTACACAATCACAATATGTGAATGTATTATAGGAGCCAGCTTTAGTTTACCGATCTTTGGATAGTAGTTACTCAGAATGGAGCATCACCATTTGCAGTACACAGTTACACATAGGGTTACCAACTTTTTTTCTATCAAATATAGTATTTTCGAAGCTGTTCCCTCTAAAAATATAGTAGATGGCAAAAAAATGGAAAAAAGTATAGTATGTGGTTAAAATATCTACTTCATTTTTAAAAGAATATATTTTTGCCCTTGCATGATTTAATAATTACCTTTTTTTATTTCTAAGAACGCTTTTACTGGTATAAATCTGCTTTAAACAAAATATAGTAGTTTCGCCTACTATATAGTAGAGTTTTTTTAGAAATATAGTTTTTTATCCTCTGATATAGTAGGATACTATATTATATAGTAGGGTTGGCAACCCTAGTTACACACTATGTTTGCATTAAACGTTCAAGTTTCACTGTTCAGCAATACCTGTATATGTAAACGGTTGGCGTTATTCCGTAAAGTGTGCAGCAGAGAGGAGGGCAGCGCGAGAAGCTCGCTAGACAACAGAGCGTTGGCACTGTTCCGTACTGCGTCGCCTTCGCTATTTCGCGCTTCAGTATCCTGCGATGCGTAATACTCCACGATACATACACGCAGTAGCCACAAGTATTCAATCAACACGTACAAAACACTCACTCTTAAAATTATTTAGTTGAAATTAATATTCACCGCAACCAAAGCTTGTATTAAGTATGAATTAAACATTAATGTAACAATTGAAATGGTGGGTTATATTCAACTTAGAAAAATTTATTAAATCCAAAAATATAATTAATTTTCTATAGTAATATTATACAGAGGAAAAATTGGATTGTTTTTTTTTTGTATAGAATAGGCTCCGAAATTAGAGCACCGATTTAAAAAATATCTTTCAGCGTATTTTAGCGTATTTTCAAAAAGGGTAGGTTTCTGTATGGAAACTCCGATAATGTAACCTAACGTGTGAATAAAAAAACCAGTCAAGTGCGAGTCGGACTCGCGCACCGAGGGTTCCGTACAAACTCAATTTAATACCTCTACGCGTTCATGAAAAATGAGGTAGTAACTTTAAAATTTTCAAAAGTATCTTTTATTATATGATGTTACTAAAAATTTACGGTTTTCGCAATTTTTCCTTTTTCTCTATTATAAGAAGTTACTTCGTACCAACTTTACGGGAAGTACCCTGGTAGGTTTTGATTCCTGTGCGAGTTTTGAAAATTTGCGGCATAAACGGCTGAATCTTTTGATTACTTTGGCTTAGAAGTTAGATTTTTCACAGCTCCAGGGGACAGTAGACATGAGTATTGGATATGAATTTCAGTTTGATACCTCCACGCGTTCCTGAGAAAAACGTCTTGACAGACGGACGGACGGACAAGAAAGTGATGCTATAAGGGTTTCGTTTTTCCTTCTGAGGTACGGATCCCTAAAAATACCAAAAAATATCCTTATATCGGTAACGCTGCGGAAGTCTTTGACTAAAGTGTTGTACTAAAGTTTTATAGAGGACATCAATATTTATTTATTTTATTTTAGGAAGGTTTACAGCTATCAATCACATATTAAATAAACAAAAAATCAATATCTAAAAGCCAATTAAAAACCTCCACACATTAAACATGCTTATATAACTATAAATATCTAACAATCTTTCATCCTAATATATTATGCTATATCCATAAAAAAGTCGGCGATACCATAGGTCTAATTGTTACAGTTATGTCACAACTAGAGGTGGGGACCTCAAATTAACACGGACTGCAGGGGTGCAGTGTCATCCGTGTTAATTTGAGGAAAAGGTTATAGTGAGTCAAACTTAAAGGATGGGCATATGCTGTCGCGGATTTTTTTATATTTTCTATTTTTCTGTAACTTTAACTATTCACCGCACGCAACGGAGCTCACAAAATTGGAATATATTTACACGTTTTTTTAACATTTTTCATCGATGCTTCACTTCTGTTGGTCGTAGCGTGATGTTATAAAGCCCATAGCCGTCCTCTATGAATGCTCTATTCAACACAAACATGTTTTCAAATCGGACCAGTAGTTCCTGAGTTTAGGGCTTTCAATCAAAAAAACAACTCTCCTGCTTTGTAATATTAGCAAGTAGATATAACTATTTCTTCGTTTTAAAATAGTAACGCCGATACAAACTAAGTCACATTATTCGTAACCCGGGTATTTATTCTTATCCAAATAAATCACTTCTTATTCGAGACTATATCAAGCAGGTTGCATAGGACAATTCTCAAGTTATCATAAGTGCCATAATTATCTATACTAATATTATAAAGCTGCAGAGTTTGTTTGTTTGTTTGAACGCGCTAATCTCTGGAACTACTGGTCCGATTTGAATGATTCTTTCAGTGTTGGGTATTCCATTTATCAAGGAAGGCTATAGGCTATAAATTTTTTTTTTTCAAAATTAGGGATCCGTAATAAAATTGCTGTTTTGTAACACAAGGTGTAAAATCGAAAACATATTTTTGCGTGCGCTGCAAAAACTATTGACAATAGAACAAAATGATGTACTACGGGTTTGTAGATCCCATTAAGACCTACAAAAAAGTCCGCAAGAACATATATCTAGCTATCATGGTTTAATCACAATAACCGATTTTGTGTTCAAAATAATTATTAAATCGTCTGAAGAAAAAAAACTACGTTAAATATATATCGTAATATTAATCTTTATCGAAATTAAGCATTATGTTATCAAGAGTATTTATGTAGAAGTAAAATACTTTTTGTTTCATCGCAATCGGATATTTCGTTTAAAAGTTAGAGTTGGTACCTATTAATGAGTTATGGGCCATAGAGTTTTTTATCAACATAAAATCCTGTAATAATCTTTTACGAAATATATTTGTTGATGATTGTAAGTATAAGATATTTGAAGAGTATAATAAATACATTTCTAAAATAACTCTGCTAAGGAAATCCACGCGCGCTTGATGCAGGCTATAATGCAATGCAGTGCACTGCGTACTTGTAATCGGTCATGCGCCACTGTACAGTAAGAATATAATTCGCGCTCCAAGCGGCAACAGCCGTCGTGAGTCGGTAGCAATGAGTTCCGATCAACTCATAGCTAATGAGTTGTTAGCGTTTATAAAATACGCCATTGACACCATGGACGAGGTCAGCATCCTGCAGATCTGTAAGTTCAACTTCAAGGAGGATGAGGTTTGCAGTGGCAAGGCGCTGCTGTTCCGGTGTGTCGGCAAGGCCGACAAGATGCCATCTCGACGGAGGGATGGAACAGAAAAGAGTGTGTAGGATATAATCACCCTGCTAAAGGAGACGGATCCGGACGACGTGCCTACATTTGTGGCAAAGGAACTGCACAAGCTGCCCCCGGTCACGTTCGACCACGTCGATGTCACCAGGCTGCTGAAGGACATCAACTTCCTGAAAGCTAGCCTGGCTGATGTAGTGAGCAAGTTGGAGGACGCGAATAACACCATCGGTGAGTTGCGAGCTCAGGTAGACTTATTAAGCAACAATGCATGCGCAAGTAGGTCACCCGAAGCTTCTAACGTGAACACACGTCGTGGGGCGCAATATGTATCCGTCGGCAGCATTGAGTCGGCGCCTGCGAGTGCGTCACCGGCCGCCGTCACCGCGAGCGATGCCTCGCGCCCCGCCGCCGCCCGCCCCTCCGTCACACCGGAGACGTCACGCGCATGCACGTCTACACCGCAACGTGCCTACGCAGCTGCAGCCGCCAGCCGACCCGTTGATGCGGTTCCGAATTGCGAGCGTCGTAGAAACAACAAACAGAGAAGAGTAGTAAACTCAGCATCCAACGTGCTACTCCGGCAGCGTCACAAAACCGGATTTCTGACGAAGAGGATTTCGTTAAAGTGGAAAGGAAGAAGAGGAAGTCCATTCGCCGCAATCTGTGTGGTGCCGCCCCGACCGGACCGAACCATCTGCTGCGTCCTGCAATACCGACGACGCCGCTGTACGTGTCCCGACTGCATTACTCTACGAAGGAAGAGGAGATCGTAGAGTACCTGCGGATTAAGACCAAATTCTCCCTCAGAGTCGCACGGTTGGAGTCCCGTCACAATGTGAATTTTAATTCCTTTGTGGTGCGGGTGCCAACCGAACATCTGGCGACGTTCATGAAAGAAGATATTTGGCCGAAAGGTGTTGTGTTCCGGCGGTTCCAAGGCCGGCTACCTGACACCACTCCGCGTCACACGTCGCCGTCTATACGTGTTAATTAGGTTTCTACTAACATAGTTATTATTATTTTTTAATTACTAACATTTAATGTATTACCTATATCTGTATTTATGTTACACTATAAGGTATTTATCTATGGGCCTACGTTGCCTGACTATAAACAAATAAATATAAATAAAGAAAAATATAATATAGGCAATATTTTATCTCGGTTTTTCCACGGAAACGAGAAAAACGCGTGTGAAACCGCGGGGCACGGCTAGTGAGTGATAAAAGTGATGTATGTGTACAAAGCACTGCGTCACCAGATACGTTTAATAATAAGGCATGGGCCAATGGTAAACAGCAGAGCAATGGTGCATTCGTTACAATGGGACCTTAAACTAAATAAATTGTCATGTAAGGTTTATAATTACACTTGCCGTGCCCCGCGGTTTCACACGCGTTTTTCTACACCGAAGCGAAGCGAGGGCGGGCCACTAGTGTTTAATAAAGTAATCAAGTCTATAGCATGCAGGACAAAACAATTCACGCATTTGGAGACATTTAAAACACTAACCTCTACAGTATTCGCTTCAGGTACAGGTTCTTTGGCTGGATAAGGTTTTGTAATATCAGTGATGCTGGTCGGGCCCATCTCCATCTTCGTAAATGAAGTGTTTCCCAAATCCGACATGCAATTATTGCTTTCAGCGCCCAGTGTCAACGACTCCACTATTGTTGCGAGATCTGAGCATAAATATACCATATATAAACGTATCTGCTTAATACCGTATTTTGAGTTTTACCACTAAATTGGCATCAATAAGTTATACTCGAAAATGTTAACGAAATAAAAAGCCCCAAAATATTTAACAAGTTCTAAATTTCAAGGCTATCAAGACGAAGAGCATTATTCTGGTATGATTGTATGAACTTCAATATAAATCTAAGAGCAGTCTCACTTTTTGCATTTTTTAAAGAGTATGATAATGACGTACATACGTCATTTTGAATAAACAGTACTCATATCGCAACGATTAACGATGCTTTCTGAGTGTGCTTTCCACACTCCTTGTGTGCTGGCGAGTAGAATATAATTAAAGCATTTGAATCTGTAATCTGTATTCGTACCCGTGTTGATATGATGCGTGGAATTGTTTATTGCTGAGAGGTCAGTGGCGTGCATGCGAGGCCGGGTCATGTTGCTGGCCATCTCCTCGCCCGATATGTTGTCCGCAGACGAAGCCTGCTCCGTCGATGCAACAGAAACCTATGAAAATTTTTAATATTCCTTATTTTTCAGTTCAATTCAACATTTATTGCAGACCATGATAGAGTTACAAAGGTTGTGATTTTGAGGAATGTGGTTGAGGATATGTGGATTCACCTAACATTAAACAAACGTACCTGATGTTTCAATTACGAACTCGTTAGAATATTTATCAGAAAAAATGGTCGAACTGCTGCCTACAGTGGACTATGTGTTTATATATATATATTTGTATTAGTATTTATATATATATATATATATATATATATATATATATATATATATATATATATATATATATATTTGTGTGAGTGATTTTAATGTGGATATGATCAAGAATACAGGTAAGTTAACTGATTTTTGTAACCAATTTGGACTGCGTCAGATAGTGAACAAACCTACACGTATAACACAATCGACTAAAAAAATTCTTGATATCGATGGTATAGCTCACAGATGTGGTATGTGCAATAAAGTAACTTTTACACAATAGCGTTTTTAAAGTTTGGATATCTGGTATATTTAGGCGTTAATAGTTGTAGCGGCTATATTTAGATGTACCTGTAAACAAGTTCATTGGCTAACATAATATATGTAACTAGAGTAATTAAAATAAAATTTGAATTAATTACCTATGGGTGTGCACTTACCCCTTCTGTGTACTTCTTTATTGTACATACCACATTTGACTGCTTTTGATATTAGGTTTTTAGAGAACAGAAAAACCTTTTTATAATGTATTAAAAATTATTTAATTCTAATTTTTTTTCCAGTCAAACTGCCGCACTCAAAGATGCCAGTTAAATTTAATTGGCAATTAAATATCTTTCCTATTTATTATATACTAGCGGATCACCCGCGTGGTACCCATTCCTGTGGAAATATCGGGATAAAATATAGCCTATGTTAATCAGGGATACTGTAGCATTCTAAAAAAGAATTTTCGAAATCGCTACAGTAGTTTTTGAGTTAATTCAGTACATACATACAAATCTTTCCTATTTATAATTATTAGTATAGACTAGACATAAATAAGAGACAGAGATTTAATTGTCAATTTAAGTTAACTGGCGTCTCTCGAGTGCTGCAATAAATCTTGGAAGCATAGCATTAATCTGTTGCATTATTAAACTCAATAAGATTATACAAATTTAAAAAATTATGACAGAACGTCAGGGTTGCCAGTTTAGGTGTCAAAATATGCAAAGTGCCACATATCACATTTGTACAATTAAGTTGTAAATTGCTTGTGAAAGCCGAATGAGGTAAGGGCACATGCAACAATTGACTGCTACAACATTTTAATTTGTAGTGAATTTATCACACTTAGTACATTAGTAGATCATAACCGGACCAACATACGCTCACCACATTTGTGCACAATAAAATATAAGTTACAAGAGCAAACTCTGTGTACTTAACTCAATTTTCAATAAAAACGTACTTACCACATCTGTGAGCTATACCATCGATATAATCCTTATGAACGCTTATGATATTTGTAAAAGTGTTTACGTACGACATAACCTAGATATCAGTGATCATGGTTTGGTTATATCTACATTCAATATCCCTATTATTCGATCAAAACCGCAACTTAAAATATATCGAAAAAATTAATTCGATTAATAATGATGCATTCGACATGCGTCTTGAGAGTATACCATGGGAAAATTTGATATACCTCGAAAATATTGATTTAAAATTACAGTATTTCGAATGTATGCTATTACAGTTATGGGATTTTCATGCGCCGGTGGTTACGCGATGCTGCAAAGCGCAGCCACGGCCTTGGTTAACGAATGTTGTGCGCACCACCATGGGTTTACGCGAACGAGCTGGGGTGCGCGCGGCCTCGGCTCCGCCGGGTTCTGCACCGCACCAGTACTACAGGCAGCTACGCAATCACGTCACATTTATGGTAAGCAAAGAAAAAAAAGTATCATTTGGTCGCTATATAAACTCTCAAATCGATAATCCAAAAAGTATGTGGGCTGGATTACGTAGGTGCGTAACTAATCAGGACAGCGATGTAAATATTCCACAAAATCTAAATATACCAAATAAAATTAACGATAATTTTTTGACTTTACCGAGTACTTCACCGGTTCCATTAGAATTATTTACTTACTATAATACACAAATATTTAATCTACTTTCAGAAAAGTTTTCTTTTAAACTAATTGATGAAAATGACCTTGTTAGAATATTAAAGAAAATTAAATCAAATGCTGAAGGAATAGACGGTATCTCAATTTACATGATAAAACGTACACTTCCACGTACTATTCCAGTACTGCTACACATTATAAACAGTTGTTTGACATTGACAGGGTATTTTCCAGAAAAATGGAAAACTGCTCTCAAACTCAAACCATTTATTGCAACCATAATGTGTACAGTGGGTGGTAGGTACTTATAAAAATATGAGCATTATGGACCCCGTCGGGCACGCAATTGGTTATTAGAAGAGAGGATACGCTTCTCTGAAGAACAACACTAATAATAAAATTAAAATTGGATGTTAGAGATTGTTTCATATGTTTATTTTTGATTGTTATAATTGGATTGGATCTGATTTAATTATAAATAATAATTTCACAAAATTAAATATAATAAATAATTAAATAAATTATTTGTACATGTACATTAATAATAACTGATCTTATCATTAAAATATTCATTTACAATATAATAACATTTATTAATTAGAAATTCCTTTAATTTATTTTTAAATGTCAAGTAATTATTTTCATTCATTATTGTATTGGGCAATTTGTTATAAATTTTAATTGATGAATTAAATGTGCTTGATGATGATAGTTTTAGCCTAGAATTAGGCAATATTAATTTATTGTTGTGTCGAGATGTGTATCTAGATGGAATGTCTTGTCGTCTAGTGTAGAATTCGCTATGTTTGCGCATAAACTTGCACATTTCCAAAATATACAAACATGGTAGTGGAAGTATCTGATACTCTTGAAAGAATGGTCTACAGCTCTCCGTCTGCTCGATGTTGGCTATGATACGGATTAACTTCTTTTGCATGGTAAGCAGCAAATGTGCGTCCGTACTGTTACCCCACAACACCACCCCGTAACACAGCCAAGCATGGGCGTAAGCGTAGTATGTAACTATAGCTGTTTCTCTATCAGTCGCCTTTTTTACCTCGCGTAGCGCATAAGCAAAGCTAGACAGTTTAGTTTTTGTTTTTTGTACGTGAGCTTTCCAGTTGAGGTGCCTATCTATCACTATACCCAACAATGTGAACTCTTCCACACAATCTAATCTTATACCGTTGTAGATAAAATTTAAATTTAATTGAGTTTTCTGGTGTGGATGGAAAGTAATTATTTTGGTTTTTGTAAAATTTACTTTTAAATTGTGATCATTTAACCAGTCTAAAGTTTTGTTAAGTAAGCAATTCAAATTTTTGTTAACATCATTATTGTTATTGTTGTGGCATGAGGTAAGTAAGGAGATATCGTCTGCGAACAGAATGCAGGGTTCCTCCATAATCTTTGGAAGGTCGTTTATGCATGCCAAAAACAGAAGACATCCAACCACGCTTCCTTGAGGTATAGATGCGTTTACAATTTTACAATCGGAGCGTACGCGTGTGATGTTTCCACTATCATCAAAGTATTCAATTTCTACATATTGGCGCCTATCTTTTAAGTATGATGCAAACCATTTGTGCGCAGATCCACGAATACCCATGCCATACAATTTATTTAGCAAGATATTGTGCTGTACTCTGTCATATGCTTTAGTCATATCTAACAGTATACCTACACCATATTGTTTATTGTTTAACAATGTAACAACTTCTTGTATGTATTTATACACGGCTAAAATTGTGGAACGATTTTTCCGAAAACCATTTTGTGAATCATCGAATATTTTGTATTTTTCAAAAAAGTTCATAACTCTATCACTCATTGCTTTCTCAAAAATTTTTGATGCTGTAGGTAAAATTGAAATAGGTCTATAATTACTTGGATTAGTTATCTCATTTTTCTTGTGAACAGGTTTTACCAAAGTATTTTTCAGTAAATCGGGAAAAACGCCCTCACTGAATGACTGGTTTATTAACAAACTAAATGGCAGAGCCAATTCTTCGGTGCACTCTCTAAATAAACTAGGTGGTAACTCATCCACTCCATAACTTTTTTTATTTTTTTGGTTTTTTATGATTCTTTTGACCTCGCTGCAGTCGACCGGGCTAAGATACATTGAGTTTTCTGTGGGGTGGACTACAGGGCGGCCGCGCTCGCAGTTAGCTGGTCCGGCACCTCCTATCTATCGCAGCCCTGTTGCTGTGAGTTGCGCTGCCCGATGGAGACAAAAAAATCATTAAATGAATTTGCAACTAGTTTAGGGTCTCATTGTATTACTTTATTTATATTTAATTTTATATTACATTTCGATTTTCTATTTATTTTATTTGTTCTCTCGTTAATAACGTGCCACATAGTCTTTACTTTATTATTGGAGCTGTTTATTCTATTTTTATAATGCATTCTTTTTGAATATATTATTTTTTTTTAAATATTTTTTCATATTGCCTGTAATGATTCTGTAAGATGGGATTGTTAGATTTTGAAGAAATTATTTTTAGCAACCTTTTATTTTTACATGATTTTTTTAATCCTACAGTTAACCAATATTTTTTTAGATTTGATTTTAATTTAATTTTACGTTTAGATATGCATTTATCTAATATTTTCATTAAAATATCATGTAATATACTGTAGTTTTCATTAATGTTTTTGTTAGGATTTATTATTTCATTCGCGCTCAATGATTGAAGCTGGGATTTAAAATCCATTATTTCTTTTTTTTTGAAAAACCGATTTTCTAAAACCCATTCGGTTTGCTTTATTTGTGTTTGTCTTTTTATGTGGATGGTTGTTCCTGCATGATCTGAAAAACCATGCTCCTCAACACCCGTATACAAATATTCATTATTAAAGTTAATAAAAATATGGTCTAAACAT